CTTCAACTCCCAGAATTCCCCAGCTAGCAACGCGGGGAATTCTGGGAATTGAAGTCCACATGTCTTAAAGTTGCCAAATTTGAAGATCCCCAGTCTAAGGTTAGACCAGGCAAGACTTGCAAACTTTGCAAATGGGGTGAGAAGCCGGAAGAAAACAAGGAAAATGAAGATATTCCCACATCTGGTGCTTCGTGAAACGGCACAACTGCTTTGAAAGTGTTTTGAATCCCTTTGCATTCCACGAAGGCACAACCGAGTAGGAAGAGGCAGGATCACAGCTTTACCAGCCGCCACTCTGGACAACAAGATAGGCAGCATATAAGTTTAATAAATAAGTAAAAATGCAGTCAAAAGAAAGTACATTTAGCAAACTTGCAGAGAGAGAGAGAGAGAGAGAGAGAGAGAGAGAAAGAGAGAAAGAAAGGGGGAGGGAGGGAGAAAGAAAAGAAAGAGAGAGAGAGAGAGAGAGAGAGAAAGAAAGAAAGAGAAAGAGAGAAAGAAAGGGGGAGGGAGGGAGAAAGAAAAGAAAGAGAAAGAAAGAGAAAGAAAGAAAGAAAGAGAAAGAAAGAGAAAGAAAGAGAAAGAGAAGGGGGCACCCCTTTGCCTAATTTCCCAGTTCCCCCAGTGTCTGGCCACACCAATGCCCCTTGCACTGGACTAAGGTGATACCTGCCCTGCCTGGCCCACTGCCCCTATTAAGCCGCCAAAGTTACAAAACTCTGAATTTTCCTCCCCACTTTTGCAAGCAGGCTAAAACCATCCCTTATGCAAACTTTCCATAACTTCATGGTGTTATAACAACAAACTGTAATATCCACTTTGCGCCTCGGGAGACTGGAATTTTTTTCCCCAATAACCCACGCATGCAAACAAGACAGGGAAAGCATTTTTTTTCTGTGTGTGTGGGGGGGGGGGGGAAGCCTGGAAAACTGGCCCCCACCGCACTCACCCACCCACAAAAGGCAGGAGTTAACAACTCTCTCTCTCTCTCTTTTTTTTTTTTCCCTTTTTCTTCTAGCGCCCCTCGGAAAACAACCAACCAGCCAACTAGCCAAGCAAGAAAACATCCAGTTCACACACCCTTGGGTAACTGAGTTTCCAAAATAAGCAGCCAGGGTGGAGTGGGGGGGGGGGGGGGATTTTACCCCGCAACCTTAACCCCGTGGGGTTAAGAGAGCCGGGTCCAACCTTCCCCGCCAGCCGCCCTCCCCCTGCCCCAAACGTCCTCAACCGGAAATGACCAAGGATGGAAAAAAGTTGTGGTTTAATAAATGACAAAGCTTTTGACACATCTTGCCTTGCTTGGGCTGCTTGCAAAACTCCGCAAGGAAAAGGCACCCAGATGACACAACGCCCCGAAGCCCTGGCAGCCTTCGAAGAAAAAGGAGGGACCTCACGGCTGCCCCGAGAGAGGAGGAGGGTGGCAGGTGAAGGCAGCTCCCAGACCAGGCATCAAAGCTAGGCTGGGCCTCCAGGCTTTGCCATAAAGCAAGGATCTCCACCCCTGGCGACTTTAAGACTGGTGGACTTCAACTCCCAGAATTCCCCAGCCAGCAACGTGTTGATGGCTGGGGAATTCTGGGAGTTGAAGTCCACCAGTGTAGCTGGCTGGGGAATTCTGGGAGTTGTGAACTTTTCTGCACAAGCTCAGCAGCGTTTGGAGAAACAGAGCCCAGCAGACTCTCCTGACCCACCGCAGAGTGACAACGTGGCACAGAGGGCTGAATCTGAACCCGGGACATGCCCTTCCAACAACATCTTGCGCATTCAAGAATCAAGGTGGATTTATAATGCAAAGTCTCGTTCTTCGGAGCCGAGCAAGGCCTGCCTACCCCCATTTTAAGCCACGAAACAACTGTGGCTTGCAAGCCATGACCACGATCCAACAATGCCGCTAGGGTCACTAGGAGTAGTAGACACGGAGATGTCAAGCAAAGGGATTTTGGGGGGGAGGGGGCTTTGAAATCCGCAGTCTAAAGTAAGGGGTGTTATTTGGGGCACAGTCCGAGGGGAAGCCCACCGTCTGGCCCTCAGAAGGCCTCAATCCCTCATGCCAGGAGTCAACCATGCAAGGAAGGCTCCTCCAGGATCTCAGATGGGCCTTGAGGGCCTCCAGGACGCTAGGAAACGGTGCGGAGAAGGAGGACAGCCGTGTTTTGAAGATGACAATCCATTTGCTATGGAAAAGGGAAGGAATTCTAAGTCTCGGATGGGGGTCACCAAGAGTTGTGGGTGGGGGGGAGGTGAAGAGGAAGAGTGAATCCTCTTTGACCCCCAGGGTGAAGAAGTCACTTCCCACCACACTTTCTCCTCCTCCTCCACCTCAACCTGCCTCTGACCAGAACATCTGGATGACATAAACAACTGCAAATATTTCCATAGGAAACGCAGATGTTCCTGGGAATTTCAGCTTGGCTGTAAATACTACATTGGAAGCTAGCAAAAAAATGGACAAGCCAGACCTTGAATAGGTTGGGGGGAGAATGTGGGGGAGGGGGGAGGGAGGAAAGCTTTCCTGGCGTGGCTGAGTCCAGCCTCCATCAGCTGCATTTGGGGCTGGGGTGGGACGGGGTGGGGGCTCCAGAGATGCTGAAGGCAAAGCTCCAAGGCCTGTCCTGCTCCAGCCCTTCAACTTTTTATCTCCCATCCTGGAGAACCTCAAGGCCACCAACGGAAGAAAACAAAAAGCAAAAAAACCCCAAAAACTGGCTTTGCAAACTTTGCTAGACTTGAGTTGTGCAACCGAGTAATATTTGAAGTCTCCAAACGCCGAAGAAAATGCCTTCAATGAATTTCGGAGAGGATGCTTGTCACAGACGTTCCTCTTTTGCTCGCCTCTCAAAGAAAATATGCTAACTTAGATTCGGTTGCAGGGGTGAAATTTCCGGGCTCTGCTACAAAACGTGACCATCCCATCGCTGCACTTTTATCCACGCACAAAAATCAGGTCAGGCTGTGTGTGTTCCTCTCTTTGCAACCCATTTCCAGAGAAGTGTAAAAGCGCTCTCTCACAACAGAACAGAATAAGAGAGTTGGAAGGGACCCTTGGAGGTCTTCTAGTCCAACCCCCTGCTTAGGCAGGAAACCTTACACCACTTCAGTCAATGAGCGAGGGGCTCTTTCCGAGGAAAGGCAATGTCCGAATTCTCCAGCCAAAATATTCAATATAATGACAGGTTTTTTTAAAAAAATTATCATTATTTTAGGAATATTGGGGGGCGGGAAGAGTAACAATCTGGGGCAAGACCAGGAAAGCATCATTTGGGATAATCCAAACTGTAAAAAAGGCAGGATATAAATAAAATAAATAAATACAAGAGTAAAGTAATAAAGGCCGGGTAAAATCTAATCAATCTAATCAATAAACAATCAAACTTGCGCTTTGAGGAATTGTGGATGGGCTCAACCAGTTTTTTCCACCTGTTGGCTTTCAAATTAATCAGACTGGATGTTTGGTTCCTCCCCCCCTTGGGAGCAGCTGCCTGACCACGGCATGGAGTCCCGGGTCTGCCCACCCAGAGGGTGCCATGCATTCTGGGCACAAAGTCCAAGATCTTGACTGAGCAGGCAGGCCAAGCAGGGCCGAACTGCCCATCGCCTTCTCTTCCTTAAGGTTCAGGCGAAAAGAGGGAACAGGCAGCCCCACCTCCACCCGAGGGAAGGCCACCCTGTTTTTGGAAAAGAAGAGGAAACCCAGAGCGCCACGTTTAGCATTCGGGAAGGGGGGCAGCCGGGCGAAGAGGCGGTGGGGGCACCCCCCAAACCAGGAGCGCTGTTTTCTGCCAAGGCTCCGCCAACTTCAGCTGAATCCCCCATTCACCGCCTGCCTGGAGGGATGAATGGATTTCTGTTCCCATCGCAGAGCTTTGTAAGAGGTGGGAGACGAGGCCGCCTTCTAAAAAAAAAAATCCATTTTCACCATCCATTTTCTCTCTAACTGGTTTTGACCTTCCTGAGCTGGTCAAAAGAAGAAGGGAAGAGGGGGAGACCATTTCATATTTTTATTATTTGCTTGGGGAAAATCCAGATTTTTTTGGCTTTTCGGCTTATTTCCTAGAGGCCGGATCTTGATGGCATCTAAGAAGCCTCCTGGCCTCAGGTCCTTGGCTCACCGGGGAGGGGGAGGACAGGGAAGGACATTTTGCAGTCACACCGAGTCTTGGCAGCTAAAGTAGGGATGGGAACCTGCAGGAACCCTTTGAAGATCCTGCCCACCACGAGGGGCACCAACCAAACGGCAACCACCAAAGCAACTCTTGAGGGCATCGGACTTGCAACTCATCTCGGTGTTTCCACCCAGGCAAAAGCAGCTAAGGAAACGGAGTTGGGGGACAATAAATTTAACAAATAAAGTAAAATATAAAATAGACACATCCAGCCATGATATTCAACTAAGGTAATCATCCCAAAACAAAGAAAAGACGAAAGGAAAAACAAGTTGAAAGAACAAGTTCTGAAACCAGAAGCCTTTAGAAAATCTCGGATGAGTTAAAGCCAGCCTTTTAAAGCAGCTGTGTCAATTGGAGATGTCCTGAATGGTTGGGGCGATCCAGAAGAGCCAACTCCCCCATCCCTCAAAAAATGCCAATTACATCTCCAAAGAGCAAAGACAACACCGAACAAACTCCGTATCAAAGTCCGTATCATTCTAGAGATCCCAAATCCCACCATCAGATCTAAGTACGAAGACTCCGATCACCCCAGCATTCATTCCTGAGATCTATTACCCAAAGGATCACTATTTAACGTGGAGGAGGTCTCATTTGGCTGAAAGCCCATAATTACCAATATGACTTCGCTTGATTTCTCCAAACGGTTTTTAAGAGCATTTAAGCATAGTTCCTGGCCTAATTTTTAAGGTCAGCAAGATCCCAGCAACTTCATGACCTGCTGAATGAAGAGGCTATTTATTGGGTGTGTCTACATCACAGATGTTTAGAAAAGAGAGAGATCACAATGCAGAGAGGAGGGGGGGATTTACAAGACTAGAGACTGCTTACCTTGGGTGGATCAAACAGTGCCAAGGCGTAATTCTGGCGGTCCGGAGACCCTTCCTTGTATAAAACTAACCGGCATTTCTGCCAGCGAGTTCCACTGTCCTCCGTCACCATCATGTACTTCAGATTCCCTTCTTTCTGGATCTGCAAGGAGCCCTCCCTGGAGATGGTCCACGGGAAGATCTTTCGGGCCAGGCTAGATCTCCAAACCAAGTCCGCCATCTCCCCTTCGCCAGGGCCCGGCTCCGAGGATCTCCGGCGGAACAAGCTACGCCAGCTCCTCCGTAGCCGGTCCAGAGAAAAATGCCTCCTGATGGCCAACGAAGAGGCGGGTGCCGCCAGTTCTTCAGAACTCCAGGACTTGGGTAGTCCACTGGAGCGGACATCAGAGGCCCGGGTGACCTGGTCCGACAAGTCCACCTCAACCTTGGACCCAACCGTGACCGAGGAGCCCTCAGCATGTTTCTGGCCCGTCTCCCGGTAGTCCCGCACTCTGCTGAAGGGCAGGATATGGAGCTGCTCCGTACCGTACGTATCCTTCACCTCGTGGCGGAAATATTGCTGGAAGAGGTCGGCAAACTGAAGGGAGAAGTTCTCAGCGGCCAAAACTTCGTGCTGGGGGTTCTCGCTGACGAAGTGGAGGTACTCCCTGGCCAGCTCTCTGGCGGTGGTGATGGCGTGCTGCTTGCAGAACTCGTTCCACCCACCGGGGTGTCCGGAGTCGCCTGATGGGACAGTGTGTCCATTCATGGCCAAGTCTGGAGATCTCCTGGTGAGGTTCTACGAAGGAAACGGGAACCAGAAACAGACAACAGGGAAGAGGAAAGGTGTGAGGATCTGGCGAGTTGTAAGATTCAAAGAGCAGATTCAAATAGCAGAGAAGGTCAGTCCAGGAAGCTGGGGGTCATGTTGGAAAAAGGATAACCCATCAAGGAGCAGAGTGAGTAAGATGCCCTCTTACTGTATGCCTCATGGACCTTCAATGGTGACGAATAACTGATAGACCTATAACCAACTCAATCAACAACAAACTAATCAAGGAACTACCAAGAACAGTCCCATCAAATTGATGGGGCAAGCCACCTGTATGTAAACAGAGAGCAAACCCCACTCTCTTCTAGCATTGATGATGTTATCTAGTTGGGTCATGAAAGGTCTGCAAGAAAACCAAGCTCAGAGAGACCCCGTAGTTCAACTTCGAGCTACAAAGATTCTACTAGTCTGACTGGTTAGCTCTGCAGACAATTCTTGGACATGCACCAGGGTCCCACTCTCCTCAACCCAACTTCATCGAAGCGCATAAGTCATCTCGAGGACCTTTAGCTAGGTCTCTCAGGACTATCTCCAAAAGCCCTCTCGACCCATAGGGGTAAGGCACAAGGAGGGACCGGGCCCTTCAGCGACCCAGCCTGTCTCGCCTACGGGCCCTTCCTAAACCAGTTATGAACTCCTGGAGTAGAATTGAGGTGGGTACAACACTCTTCAAACATGACCTGACATGTCCTGGAGAGAGTGAGCAAGAAGGGAGACGCCCATCAACATTCTTAGACAGCACCCATGCCGCTGAGCTGAGCGGAGGAAGGACCAGCCGAAAGGCAGACCAGACAGGAAGCTGCCAAACCTGTTTTTGCTAAGAATTGGCTCTCTTCCCCCCCCCCCGCCATGTGATCTACGTCAACATCACACTCTTTGGATGGATTAATTAACCCCGTGTTTCTTCTTCAGCCTTGGCCACTTGAGGATCGGTGGACTTCAACTCTGGGAGTCTACATGGCTGGGGAATTCTGGGGGCTGAAGCAGTGGTGAAATCCAATTTTTTTTTTACTACTGGTTCTGTGGGCGTGGCTTGGTAGGCATGGCAGGGGAAGGATACTGCAAAATCCCCATTCCCTCCCCACTCCTGGGGGAAGGATACTGCAAAATCCCCATTCTCCACCACTTCTGGGGAAGGATACTGCAAAATCCCCATTCTCTCCCCACTCAATTTTCCGCTACCGGTTCTCCAGAACCTGACAGAACCTGCTGGACTTCACCCCCGGGCTGAAGTCCACCCATCTTCACTTGGCTTCAGGTTCTCCCATCTTCGAGTAGCATGGCTGGCTGGGGAATTCTGGGAGTTGAAGTCCATCTCCAAGTGGCCAAGGTTGAGAAACGCTAGTTAAACGGAGAGACTGTTGGTGTTCCCATCTCTCCTTGCCATGGCAAACTGGGCGACCCTCCTTAGCCGATCCTCTCTGGTCTTCCCTAAACATAACAGAATAACAGAGTTGGAAGGGACCTTGGAGGTCTTCTAGTCCAGCCTCCTCTTTGCACATGCCAGATTTAAACATGAAACTCCCCTGATCCTTTCTCCAGGACTCATCCTGCATGTCTGAATGGTGCCCAGCTGGGAAAAAAGACAGATTCTACACCACTACCACTCCACTTGCAGAATATTCCACTACTAGCTTCGTCTTCTCTCTGAGGATCGTCACGCTTGCAAAAGAAATCCCCGAGCACTCGAGGGGTCTCGTCGGGTGTGCAAAACACCTCACCCAGCCTCGACTCTGCCCAAGTGTGCAATTGAGAAGTCCACTTCGCTCCAAAACTTTGCAGAAGTTCCCAGCCCAGAAGCGGCCCTCAAACTTTCTTTCTCTCTCTCTCTCTCTCTCCTGCACAACCGCTTGTTTTATCGTCGTCAGGCACGGCGCTGAAACAGGAAGCCCCGGTCGTTGTGCGGCCCCACATTGCCGCCCTCGTGCGAGCAGGCCCGAGGCCTTCCTCGCCGCAGCATTGGCCGGCCAGGGAGTCACCTTGAGGAAGTCTTCCCGAGGGGCCAAAGTTCTTTTTTCCCAAAAGCAAAACAAAACACACGGTAACCGACATGTCGCTGTCCCAACTGTTGTGAGGAAGCGCACAGAATGCCTGTTTACTCCCCTGGAGACTAAAACGACAGAACTGAAATGCAGGCAGATTTGGAGTGTGTATGTACACCAACACGGCCACACCCACAAACACAGCGCTTTCAACTTTCCGTTAAGCAAGCCGGGCACTTTTTGACATGCCCGAGTAAGATTAAAATCAATAGATTACGTCTCTCTCTTTCGCTGCGCTGTGTTTATACAGTCTGTGTGTGTGTGTGTGTGTGTGCACACCTCCATGTTTTCTCATACCTGTGCAAAGCACACCCCCGCCACCCATGAAAGGCGTGTCAATGACCTACTTAACACTAAGCCCTAACCTGAGCTTCGCAAACCACAAGGCTCGCGTTGCGCACGTCCCACAACCAGCCCTACGCTGACCCAGCACAAAAAGGTGTGAAGCTGTGTCACCAACGTATGGCCCCGACACAAATCTTTCAAGAAATTGGGCACGCGGATAGGAACGCCACTCTGCCAGGTCAGAAAGAGAGCAGCTCTTAAAAGTTTCATCGCCCAAGGAATGGCGTCCGGTCTCTCGCTTCCGGCTCTCCCTTCTCGTCAGGCCCCTGAGCCCTGCTGTAACCGCTACACCTCGCCCGGCCGGTTTTCCATTCGGGAGAGAACCCTGAATCTGGGTTTTGCCTTTTGGAGACAGGTGAAAACAGGCAGTTCCCAATTCAGGGGTGTAGACAACATTATGAAGGAAGGAACAGAATACCAGGAGCTGGGCATTTCACCGTGATGCCCTTTTCCTGCTGATGGATAAAGGGGGGTGGGGGTGTTCCAATGCTCAGTCTACAGGGCCCCTGCAGCCCTGCCTGGCTGGCGAATGAGCAGGGATGAGTGGAAGTCATGCCTGCAAAGTTCTGGAAGGGACCACCTGCCTGGTTCCCACCGGACTTTGGCTCTTGCGCACGCGCCCTCTGGCCCAGTCATGTGGCCGTAATGGGGAGACGTTGGTGGGCATCTCGTGGCTTCTAAGAGGAAAGGGCAGCAGAGAAACCAGGCTCAGCCGAAGGGGTGGAGAGCGAGTGTCCAGCCCACAGGCGATAGGTACCTGGACGGGCTTAAGCAGCGGAGACCAAGAGCATTCCAGGAAGATCCCATCTCCTGACTTCTAAGAAAAAGGGTTGCTTCTAAGCAGCAGCAGAGGAGAAAGCAGAATTGACAAGAGTTGGAAGGGCCCCTGGAGGTCTTCTAGCCCAACCCCCTGCTCAAGCAGGTGACCCTATCCCATTTCGGACAAATGGCCGTCCAATCGAAAACCTCCAGTGATGGAGAACCCACAACTTCTGGAGGCAACTTCTGTTCCACCGATTAATGGTTCTCAACTGTCGGGAAATTTCTCCTTAATTCCAGGTTGCTTCTCTCCTTGACTGTCCTTAAGTCTAACCCTCCAAAACAGAGCTCAGCCGGAGGGGTGACCAACCTACAGGCAGGTACCCAACAGGTTTAACAAGCAGAGCCTCAACACAACGGAGCGTTTATGCACTGGGGGAGTGTGTGGGGGGGGACCAAGACACCAAAGAGCCCTCCCCTTGCAGAAGTCAGCCTCTCCCAATTTGGGGGGGGGACAACACTTCACTGGCTAGGCACGGCCACCATCCTTGCCAAAAAAAAAAAAAAAAAGCCACCACACAAGCTTTCCAAACCAACCGGAGAGACGCCAGAAGGAGCCGAAACTTCATGCCGCGGCGTTAACGTGCTTCGTGCAGCAGGTGCCCGAGTCTCTTGCCCCCACGGGGCCCCCAGCTCTGGGTCTATCTGTGTGACCAGCCTGCCAATGACTCAGCACCACGCTTCCTCTCAGACGTAACCACAACGTCCTCCCGTTGCGCGGGGCAGTGGTCCCTGGGAAACCGAGGCCGAGGGGTGGGCAGCGCCCTCCAGCTGGGTCTTTCTCGGCTTCTGCGCGGCCCGCCTGGCCGTCCCTGCCTCCCAGAGGGGCCATCTTTGCATGGGCTTTTCCAAAAGACCCAAAATGCAGAGAAGAGCAAGGAGGGGGATCAAAGGCCTGGAGGCTAAAACATACAAACAACGGTTGCAGGATTTGGGGCCAGCCAGTCTAGAGAACAGAAGGACTAAGAAGGGCACGATAGCAGCCTTCCCATCTCTGAGGGGCTGCCACAAGGAAGGGGGGGGGGTCCACCTATTTTCCAAAGCACCAGACGGCAAGGCAAGAAACAATGGATGGAAACTACTCAAGATAACAAGCAACCTGGAATTTAAGGAGAAATTTCGTAACAGTGAGAACAATTAACCAGTGGAACAGTTTGCCACCAGAAGTTGTGGGTGCTTCATCCCTGGAGGTTTTTGAGGAGCGACTGGACAGCCACCTATTTGAAATAAGATAAAGTATCCTGCTGGAGCAGGGGGTTGGACTAGAAGACCTCCAAGGTCCCTTCCATCTCTGTTCGGATTGAAACCAGGTACACACACCTGCCTGGGCTCCCCTGCTAGAGAGGCTCTGCCTGGCCCCCGATTCTTGCAGAAGTCTCGCTGGCGTTCCCATGCAATGAAGACACACGCATGCACGCAAGCAGAAACACAAAGGAACGGAAAGCAGAGTCGTGCCCGTGACGCAGCCCGAAGTTACATAAGTTGGCTCCCGCGTCACAGAGCTGAGGATCTCTGTGGAGTCCGGCGGGCGGGCAGCCCCTCTGGGACGAGGAGAGCAGCCGCCGCCTTTGCAGAGCCCGCCGAGAACACGAGGCTGTGGGAAAGGCAGTTTGGCGGCTGCAGCTCTGAGCCTCCAGCCCGGTTCGGCGCAGAAAGGGACACATCGGACACACATCACAACAAAAATAGAAGGCTCCCCCCCCCACTCTCTTTTTTGTCCTTTAAACGCCCCATGGCTTTTTTTCTCCCCCTTAACTCGCACTGTGGAAGGAAGGAAGGTCCCTCCCAAACTTCCCCTTGTTATGAAAGGTGCCGGGGCCCCGGTGGGAAGGGGAGTTGCCGTGTGTGGGAGGAGAGAGAGGGTGGAAAGAGCAAAGGACTATTCACACACACACAAAAAAACACACACACATATTCAATTCACCCTGGGCACCCTCAGATGCCTAGAAAGTCAGCCCTTTTGTCCCTCTGGAACAGGAAATGAGCTTTTTGAGGGAAGAGATCTGAACGGAGCACATGGGTCTCCTACTTGAGAAGGGGGGGTGGACTAGAAGACCTCCAGGGTCCCTTCCAACTCTGATATTTCTCTCTCCTGTGCTTGGCTTTCTTCAACAGAGTCCCCACTCCCTGTCCTTCTGGGGGATGTGGGATGGGGGGGGGTTTAAATTAGGAAAAAGCAAAGCAGAGAGAGAAGCCAAATTGAAGGCAAATTAGGGAGGTTAAGGAAGGGAGCCACCAATCTGTCGTGTCGTGTCTTGAACCCGGGTTTGTCTCAGGGAAGTTTCTGCTGGAGCAGAGAGGGCTAAGGGCCACCCACCCTCCAAAGAGTCTCCTGGGCCAATCCTGCACAGCACCACCACCGCCGCCGCGTGCAAAGAAAGCTCGCAACGCAGACTCGCGTGCCGTGCCGTGGCCCGCCAAGCCGGGCTGCCATGAACCGTTACCCCCGAGCGCGATTTCTGCTGAGCTTCTGAGAAACAGCCGCCTTTTGCCCCACAGCAATCTGGTCCGGAGGAGAAGCCAGGATGGCGTGCCTCTTTTCAGATCTCGGTTTAATCCAAGGCTGTCCAATTTAGGACTTCAACTCCCAGAATTCCCCAGCCAGCGTTGCTTTCCTGGCCTGGAAGGGGCTTCTGGCGCAGCTTCTTGCTGGCTGGGGAATTCTGGGAATTGAAGTCCACAAGTTTAAAAGCGGCCATAGTTGGCCCCCCCCCCCCCCCCCCCTCTGCTTTTACTCCAAGGTTTGCAAAAAAAATAACAACAGCTACAAGTCTACAGAAAAGGGATTTGCAAGCAAGGAGAGTGCCCCATGGGCTTTGTGGTTACTCCCAACATCTTAAAAAGTCTTTCCAGTTCAAAATGCATTTCGGCCCCATCCTGGTCAATCCCACCCCCCAAAAAAATGTTCTAAGCCCAAACAAGTTCCTTTTCTTTCTCTTTTATCCCTTCCCTTTCTACCCCCCCAACTCCACCCAGCAACTCTGGGGAGCTCACCCTTCTAAAAAAAGGACCCCCCCCCATTCAAAACTATCTGGAGAAATAAAAAGAATAAAAACCTCACGCAATTTTGCATTCCCCCCCCCCCCCCCCACCCCCGACCCCAAAGAGAGCCCGGGCCTCGTTCTTGGAAGCTGGAGCCTCCAGATGTGGGGCAGCTGTTCGGAGGAAGCCTCCTCCCCCCCTCCCCCCCCCCCTCTCCCCAGTTGCAAGTCTTTCTCGCTTTGAATGGGGGGGGGAGAGAACCTCCCTCCCTGGAGGGGTCTCCCCCGTTTCCCCTCCTCCCTTCAGGCTGCTCCGGTCCCCAAAGGGCCGCCCGGGGGCCCCGAGAGGTCTTCCAGCCTGGCCGTCCGGAGGGGGGGGTCGCTCCCGGGGCTCCCCCCGCAGAAGCCCCCGCCCGGCCCCCCAAAGAGACCCCCGTCCAGGCACTCTGCACACGCTCCGCCACCCTCCGCTCCGAAAGCGAAAGCAGCCCCGCCGACCCACCTGCGCGAGAAGCGGCGCCCCTCGGCCGCCCGGCCCATGCTGCCCCCGGCCACAGCGCCGCGCCGTCGGAGGAGCCAGCCCCGAGGAGGAGGAGGAGGGCGGGCGGGGCGCCTTCCACGCCGGCCCGGCCCGACGCCTCCCCGGCGGGCGAGAGGCGGAGGCGGAGGCGGAGGAGGCGCCGGCTGGAAGGAGCGGACGGGCAGAAGGAAGCCGGCGGGGAAGGGCGGCAGCGCGGCGCCCGGGGGCGCTTTCGCTTCCTCCAGATGTGCGGCCCGCGGGGGGGGGGGGGGGGGGGGGAACAGGTGCTCTCCAGGCCCCCCACAAACCCCCCACCCGCCGCCTTTGGAGCCGCGCCGGCCACGGGCGGGGGGAGCCGTCGGGGCAGCTCCACTGCGGGGGCGCCTCAGAGGCCTTAGAAGCCCCCCGCCTTCCACCAACGGGGCCGCCAAGACCTCGAGACCCCCCCCCCAAAAAAATACCTGTCCGGGGAAAGATGCGGGACTGCAGAGCCTCTTCCTCTGGGAGCCCTCGGCTCGGATGCGGGGAGAGGGGGGGGTCGTCCCTCCGCCCGGGGGCCTCGGAGGGGAGGATTCGCACTCGCTTCCTGACCCCAACCCGCTCAGCCACGCGGTCAGCGCCGTCTGCGGAAGGGAGGGGGGAGGAGGCACTCCAGCCACGTCCCACCCCCACTTCCAAGGGAAGGGGCCTCACCTTAAGGAGCCCCGCCAGGCTCCTGCAGCTGCAATCTTGGCAACTTTTTAAGACTTGTAAACTTTAATTCCCAGAATTCCCCAGCTGCAACTTGGCAACTTTTTTAGACTTGTGAACTTTAATTCCCAGAATTCTCCAGCTGCAACTTGGCGACTTTTAAGACTTGTGAACTTTAATTCCCAGAATTCCCAGCTGCAACTTGGCAACTTTTTAAGACTTGTGAACTTTAATTCCCAGAATTCTCCAGCTGCAACTTGGCAACTTTTTTAGACTTGTGAACTTTAATTCCCAGAATTCTCCAGCTGCAACTTGGCGACTTTTTTAGACTTGTGAACTTTAATTCCCAGAATTCTCCAGCTGCAACTTGGCAACTTTTTTAGACTTGTGAACTTTAATTCCCAGAATTCTCCAGCTGCAACTTGGCGACTTTTAAACTTGTGAACTTTAATTCCCAGAATTCTCCAGCTGCAATTTGGCAACTTTTAAGACTTGTGGACTTCAGTTCCCAGAATTCTGGGAGTTTGAAGTCCATAAGTCTTAAACTTGCCAAGGTTGGCGTCTCCTGTGGCCCTACGGTTGCAAAGTTGCAAAGACTTTCCATTCTTGAAATCCCCCCTTGCAGCCATCAAAGACCCAGCCAACTTCATTTTTGATATTTGTTCAAGCAGTCAGAGTCACTTAAAATAATAATAATAATAATAATAATAATAATAATAATAATAATAATAATAATAATAATAATAATAATAATAATAATAATAATATGAAGGTTGCAAGGGCCCAGTCTTCCAAAGTTGTTTGCCCTTATTTTATTTTAATGGCACCAGGATGAAAATTAAGAGCTCTGTTTAACCCAGGAATCCTGGCTATCCAAGCTGGGTAGTATTAAACAAAGGCGCCTGTATCTTCTGGAGGCAGGACGGGAAGTCACATTTTTGGTGTCGTCTTGTTAACTCGGTTGGCCTGATTGCCGGGCAGGTTAAACAGATTCTTGAATGGCTCAATTATTCACAAAATTCTACAAAACTCTCAAAAACTCTGGCCAAAGTTAATGTATTTGACAATTACAGCTGGGTTTAAGGGGGAAAAAAAAACAGATTCTGGTTCCCTAATGCTGGATGAGACTGAATAAGACTTGGTTAAAACACACAACAGACGCCAAAAAATCAACTGCAGTGAAATTGCTATCTGTCTGGCTATGTTTAAGCCTTTGATGTCCTTTAAGCCGACTTTTCTCAACTTAGGCCGGTTTTAAGCATGGGAGGTTTACAATGCTTGGCAAGGCGCACTTTACCGTTTGATAAGCCTGCTTTGAAGGATTTTGCTACTCCCTTAGAAAAAAATATATATTGCAAAACAGCTCTTAATCCCCTTTAGTGCCCTTGCAAATGAATATATGTGGCTCAAGCGCCATCTAGTGGCCGAAACGATAACTAGCATGAGCCCATTAAAGGGATATTCTATATAACCTTGGCCACTTTAGGACTTGTGGACTTCAACTCCCAGAATTCCTCAACCAGCATGGGCTGGCTAATGAATCCTGGGAGTTGAAGTCCACAAGTCCTAAAGTTGCCAAGGTTTTGGAGACCCCCGTTCATATGCCTTAAAGCGCCGCAATAGAATAATAATTACAATAATGATAAATATATTGTAAATATACATAACAAATAGTATAGAGAGTCCTCGATTTACAACAATTCATTTAGTGACCAAAGTTACCACGGCACTGAAAAAAGTGGCTTTGAGCTGTTTTTCACACATACGACCATTGCATCCCCGCAGTCACGTGATCAAAAATCAGGCATTTGGCAACTGACTCGTATTTACGACGGTCCCAGGTGATCCCCTTTTGCCACCTCCTGACCAGCAAAGGCCATGGGGAAACCAGGTTCACTTAACAACCGAGTTCCTTATCAACGGCGCCAGTTGAGACTCCCTCCTATCGCCAAGGTTCAGAAACACGGATTTAGACCAACTTTATACCCTAAATCTGAGTTAAATGGGATCTCGCTCCCCACCTATTCCAGCCACCCAGATGTCTAGGGAGATTGTCCGTCATCCGGGACGTGGTTGTCCCAAAGGTGCTTTTTTCAAGAGGCAACTGGACTTTCTTGGTTTTTCTTTGAAGACCTTTCGCTTCTCATCCCAGAAGCTTCTTCAGTTCTTCCAAATGGAAGAAGCCACTTGGATGAGAAGCAAAACATTTTCAAGGGAATGTCTACGGAGATTCTCAGTCATCCAGGACGTGGTTGTCCCAAAGGTGCTTTTTTCAAGAGGGGACTGGACTTTTTGGTTTTTTTCCTTTGAAGACCTTTCGCTTCTCCTCCCAGAAGCTTCTTGGGCTCTGAGTGAGTTGTGCCTTCTATATAAATTCTGGGACCTGTTCCAAGACTTCTGTTGGTATTGAGCTGAAGAAGCTTCTGGGAGGAGAAGCGAAAGGTCTTCAAAGAAAGGGGGAAAAAAGAACCAGAAAAGCCACTTCCCTCTTGAGCAAAAGGCACCTTTGGGACTGGGCAGCCCGCGTCGTTCCCCAGGTGAGACTTCCGCGGAGGTCGTTTGAAAGGCGCTGGGGGGGGAGGGAGGAGAAACCCCTGCGGGGAGGGGAGGGGGCTCTCCAGGGCCGCCTGGAAGGAACCGGAAGGCCGGGGGCGGCCAGAGCCGAAGCCAGCCCAGCCTCCCCCTTCCCAGCGCTGGAAGAGGCGGAGGCGGCGGCCGCTCATGGCAGCGCTCGGCTCTCCCGCGGACAAAGGGAGCCGGCGGGCCGGGGGCTGAAGCGGCCGGAGGAGCCCCCGCGGAGGCGGGCAGGTGAGTGCCGGGGCTCCTTGCTCCCTTTCCAGCCTCCCCCGCCCGGCGAAGGCGCTGCGATCCCGCGGAGGCTCTGCTCAGCCCAGGTTGGAAGCCAGGAGGGCCCCCCCTCTCCCCCAGCCCTCGCAAAAGAAGGCGGGAGGGCGGGTAGGTGGGAGGGAGGGAGGGAGGGAGAGGGACACGATCAGCCCCCCCAAATCTTCCCCAAGCCCAGGGAAGCTGCCGGGGGAGCCCCTCCTGGAAGATCCAGGCTTAAGGATTTCTGCAGAAAAGCCCCTTTCAGGTGAGCTCCCCAAGTGCAGCTCCTCCAGCTTCCAGCCTTGCTGGGCACAGAAGGGAAGGGGTGGAAGAGACTAGTTGAGGAGGGGCTCATCTTTTGCCCAGCCCAGGGACCCTCAAGATTGGGGGCGGGGGCAGGGGGGGGGCTGGTTCCCCCAGGTCTGGCATTTCGAGGTCTCCTTCCTTGCTCCTCCCTTGGAGACAACCGCTTGGCCTCCCCCTTCATCCTCTTTGCAGAGATTTTGCCCAGGGGCTCTTGGGGGAGATCGCCTGGGGTCCAGTGGTGCCAGTTTATACACAAAAGCCACGTGGAAGTAGAATTAAGGGTGGTTGTTGTTTTCTTCCCTGGCTCCTCTGAGCTGGCTTTGATTTTCTTCATCCCATTTCCAGCCACTGGGCCAAAACCAAAACAGGGCCGATGACATTCGGTCAAGAACCTGGGGAGTTGCCGTGAGATGGAAAGAGAGAACTGGGAGAAAACCCCCATCGAGAGAGTCCCCTTGTTTTCACAGAGGGCTTCTCTTCCTGTTAGCAAATTAGGCTGCAGAATTGCACACCTGGGTGAGGTAGGTGGCAACCAGGAAGGGAGGACCCCCAACTCAGATTTTGGCGACCTCCCCACCTCTCCTAGGAAGCTCAGTGCCAGCACTTCCCCCCCCTCTAAAACATGGATTTCTGAGTTCTGCATGCGGAAGTGGGCTCTGCCAACCAGCCCTAAATTATCCTAGTAGTCCGTTGCACCCCTTCTTCTGGATTGGCTCCACCACCAGCCGACGTGACCCGATTGTGACTGCTCTGCCCACAATATTCTTCTGCCGGGCCATTCCGTGTGTGCTTTGAGCAGTGCTGGAAACCAGATGATGCCTATGTGCCCAGACATCGCCCAACAAAACCCCCCAAAATACGGGTGGCCACGGAAAGGCAACCTCCTTGCCAGATTTTGAGGGTTGCCACCATAGCTTGTTGGTGGGACTCTTGGGGCTTCAGAGGCAGGTATGATGTTGGCAGTGGGTGCTTTCTGTCCTGCAGGTGCCTCGGTGCCAGTCAGGCTGGCACGTGTTGGTCTGCAATTGTCAACAAGGTTGTTCCTTCCAAACAATTAAGTTGGCAGCCGTTACTTTGGAAGAGGATAAATGCAGGTGGCAAGGGGGAGAATTACTCAGTTCCGGATGGGCAGGAGTGGTTGGAGCTGATGAGCAGCTCGGGCCGTGTTGATTTCCATCTGTCTTCTTCGTTCTTTTAAAAGGGTCTGAAGAGGGGAACTGGCTGACCAGAGCTCTGCTTGTGAGGTTTGATGGAGCTGCATTTTCCCCTTTTCGGTAGGGAGCTGGCCGTGCCCGTAAAGGGGGGGGGGGGGGGGGGCTGAATTTATTTATTTGCCTTTTATTACTTTTAAGGAACTGAAGGCAGCGAATGCACTGTGTATAATTCTCCTTCCTCTTCCTGTTATCCCCATAGACCTATGAGGTGGGTTGGGCTGGGAGAGAGGGAGTGACCCAAAGCCACCTAGATGGCTTTCGTGCCTAAAGTGGAACTAGAACTCACCGTCTCCAAGTGACAGGCCCAAAGTCACCCAGCCGGCTTTCGTGGCTTAGACAGGACTAGAACTCACCATCTCCCGGCTTCTAGGCCAGCACCTTAAGCACTATGCCAAACAGGACTCTGCTGTGGATGTGTGGTAAACTTCCTTGAATTTGGTACTGGGAGTTTTATTTGATGACAAACTGCCTAGGGAGAATCTGGGAGTGGAGGAAAAAAATAGGGCCAGCTTTAAGACAGCTGGACTTCAATTCCCAGAATTCCCCTGGCTGGGGAATTCTGGGAATTGAAGTCCAGACACCTTAAACTGACTAAGGTGGAGAATCACTACTACAGATGCAGTTGTTTTGAGGCTGTAAGACCCCAAGTGGCCCTTGGTGTCAATGATGGCTGCCGGGACCCACCCCTGCTTTTCTGCTTCTCCTTCCCAGGGACGCCCACCATGAAGCTGAACGAAAGGAGCCTCTCCTTCTACGCCACCTGCGCCTCTCCGGCTGACCACGCCGGCTTCTTGCACAAGAAAGGCGAGCGGAACACGGCCTACCACCGGCGCTGGTTCGTGCTGAGGGGCAACATGCTCTTTTACTTCGAGGAGCGGGAGAGCCGGGAGCCCGTGGGCGTCATCATTCTGGAGGGCTGCACGGTGGAGCTGTGCCAGGCCAGCGAGGAGTTTGCCTTCGCCATCCGATTCGACGGCCCCAAGTCCCGCACCTACGTGCTGGCGGCCGAGAGCCAGGCCGCCCTGGAGCGCTGGGTCAAGGCGCTCTCCAGAGCCAGCTTCGACTACCTGCGCCTGGTGGTGAGAGAGCTGGAGAAGCAGCTGGAGGAGATGCAGGCGGCCATCCCGGGCGCCCAGCCGGGGCTGAGACGGCGGTTGTTGTATCGGAAAAACAAAACGGCTCCCAATTTGGAACTGGCTGCCCTGCCACTGGAGAAACCGTCTCTGCCCGTTTGCATCCCCGGGAAAGAGAACGGCTGTGCCTTATGGAATAACTCCGAAGCCTTGGCCAGCTTGTCTCCTGCCTGCAGAGAGATAAACTCTTACAGCGGGGCCAAGAGCTACGATGGGGGGCTCAAGCCACCACCGTTGCCCCCTCGGAGACGGTCCCTGCCGAGCAGCTCCGGTGGGACCGGCGGCCCAAGCTCGGACGGCCCCCTGTCTCCAAGCGCAGTGTGTTTTTCCCAGCTGCATGGCTGGTACGGCCAGGAGATTGTTGAGTTGCAGAAGGCCTGGCTGGAGGATCAGAAGGATAAGGACACCAGCCTTTGAACCTCCCCGGGGGTGGACAGGCACTTCCTGGAAAAACTGAACCCACACTTGGAAACCCACCAAGGTCCATCTTGCAGATGAGACTCCTGGAAACTTTGTCTCCAGTCTGCTGATCGCACCCTTCCATGATTCATGGAAAAGTCATGGCCTGTGCCAGCTCACATCTCCCCCCCCCACCTCCAAAAATCCCCCTTCCTCAAACATGCAAAACTTTCTAGTTCCTGGAGGCCTCCACCGTTAAGGGATTGCGATGAGATGTTGGAAAAGACTTTCCTCTGGAAACACTCACAGCCCCAGCAGGCAAACGTAACGGAAGTGAGCTAGGAGCGTCTTTCGATCTCTGGACGCACAGAGGGTTGTTTCAACGAAGCCTTTGGAGCAGGGAAGGAGGACTTCATTTGCAGAAGCATTGGAGGACCATGGAAATGGTTGGGCTTGGCTCGGTTACTTCTCCAGGAGGACATGTGGTCCTTTGCGCCCAATTCAGTTAAAGGAGATTCTGGAGATCTCCAGAAAAGACATTGTGGGTGTGTCGTTGTTCAAGATTCTCGTCAATTAAAATGGGGACAAGATCAGGGGGGACCTTAAAACGCCCGTTCAGTCATGAAGGCCATTGGGGTGGGGGGGTGTCACCATCTTGGAACCTAAAGTATTTGGCAGGGTTGCTGGGAGGCTGGGAACCAGGCGATGAGGTCCATGTGTATAACAGGCGGGGTGTATTCTTACAATCCAGAAACGAAATGGGGAACTTGCAGCCTCCTCCTTCCACAGCTGCAGCACCATCTCTTTGCCAAACCTTTGTAAGCATTTTCTTACCTGGAACAGGAATGTCTTCGGCCACCACCGTTTATAACGGAGAGCTGCTTTCCCTGGAAAATTGGCTTCATTCGTTCTGCAGGACAGGAGTGGATAAGAGCAGCTGTTAACGAGGCGGCCCAAATCTTGAATGCAATAAACGGAGACATCAGGCTGAGGTGTTATACAACTTCTGTATTTTCCTTTTTTAACGGCTCTTTACAGAACATAATAGGCCTTTTTTCAGTATTTAACAAACTCCGGTCAATCTTGTAGAAATTGTTTCAAAGTACAGTACAGGCGCCTAGAAAAAGGGAGCTGACGCATCTCGCCAGCTTCGAATACAACCAGTCTCTCTCGACGGTAGAGAACCAACACTTAAGTGCTTAGTTAAAATAATAATAATAATAATAATAATAATAATAATAATAATAATAATAATAATTCCTGTTCCATTAAAACTAATCTGGAGCCTTTGGTGAAGAAGAATTAATGGACCCCACTCCACATTTTATTTGGATAGGCAGAAGTTGAATTCGTTCAGGGGGTTTCTAGGTAAGTGATATTTCCAGGTGTTTCAGGCGGACAAATAGACCAGAATTTCTGGGTGAAATAAGGAGCATTAAATGTATAAAAATACTTTCAGTTCTGATAAAACAAAATACACGTAATGGGAAGGCCAAACATACATATTTTTTGGTGTGAGGGAGGTAACTGGTTTCTCTTTCCCTGCTTGTAAATTAGATTCAAAAAGGTTTTATCACATCTGGGAGAATAAATCAATGGATGGATGAAAAGCGTGAGGAGATCACTCAACTCCATTAAAAACTGAAGAAGACAGGGCTGCAGTTAAGGTCTCTTCAAATGATGAAAACATCTGGTGGAAAACTTCCATCTAAGGAAGAAACCTGCGAGTTCGGAGACAGTCCCATCAGCTCTTCATCTAGTTTTGAGATAAAAGTCAAATTGATGGGAATTACTTAAATAATCCAGGACCAGCCTCCTACCCAAACTGGCTATTTCCATCCTTCGGCTCCTTCCTTCCTTCCTCCTTTCTGGCACGGAAGATGGATCCAGAGCAGGCCTTTGGAGAAGGGGAGGAGGAGCTGGGCCTGGCTTTAACCTTCACCTTTTCTCCCAAGCCTTGAATAAATGGGGGGTGGGGGGAATTCATAGGACACTGTTATGATTAAATTTATTTGCCGCTACTCCAAGGGGCAAACATTTTCTATTCTGTTTTGGTGCTCCGTGTCAAAACGTGTCAAAATACATGCTTTCCTCCAAACCTGAAATTTTGAGCTAAGCAGGCAGGGACTATTTTCATGCTTTAAAAAAAAAAAAAAAAGTGTCGTAATTCTCTTTAAAGTCTTCCCGGGCAGAAACCAGACTCATAACAGACTGTTCGATTTAGCAAATGCACCTTTTTTTGGAAACAAAAGATGCTTTTTTTAAGTGGGAAAGAAAAGAAAAAAAACCCTTTCTGAATGCCCACTTTCTAAAGGTGAGAAAGGCATTCTCTGGAATTGGTGTACATCTTGTTCAACAAGGCCCTGGAAAACGTATTTCCATACAACAGCATGCAACACCTCTCTTTTGTTGTTGTTGTTGTTGTGTTGCCCCAAAAAGAAAGAAAGAAAAAGGAAATAAAAAGGAAGGAAACGTACCACTCAAACTAAATAGCAGACTCAAGGGGGCTCCAAATTTAGAGTCTTCGTGGACTACAAGACCAGAGTTTCTTGACGGGTGTAGCGGAGGAAGGTCTTACAGACAAACGCAGAGTCTGCCAATCAAGGTTAGTAAAGTTTTGGTCAGTCTCCTAGTGCTTCTTGATGGCTTGGATCAATGAGCCAAGGTTCCTATTTTTTAAAATTTAATTGTTTTTTTTCCTCTTTAATCTCATCCAGTGGCAAACTACAAGACTTTCAGTGGGCATTTAATGATACAACTGATACAGTTTATCTTTTAATATCAAAGCAGCTTGAGCTGTTAATAAATTCCAAAGTTTCCTTTTATTAAAATATCTAAAAGAGGTCTATAAATATTATTTTAATATTTTTTCCCTTCTAAAAGTGTTCTCAGTTTGTTCCTGTGTGTCTCTTTTCACATTTAAAACCCCCAAAAGTCGGTTTTCGGTTACCTTCAGGAGCTAAGAAAGAGCAGCGATCTCTCACGTTCAAGAAAATGCAGCTGATTTTTTTTTTTGGCTCTTCCTTAGACTTGATGAAATTAATAAAATATGTTTGTATGTGTGTTCATATATATATATGTATATATATATATATATATATATATATTTATAGATCTTTTTTTCTATACACTCTGCTAGGACTCCCTGCTTTGTCCACATGTTCCGTGGAGTTTAGAACCCAGACAACATTATTTAGGTATTCGGTTCTGATTATTTTCTTTTTTCCGTTTAGCCCTTCAAAATTCCCACTCCAGAGTCTCCTCGCGGTTGGCAGCTCTTTCCAGCCGATGAATTATGCTGTTGAGGTTAGCCATTTTCTCGTTCCGCCGCTGGATGTTCGTAGTCAGTTTTGCAGTGGGCGGCGCGGTGCCTGTATCTGCGGCCGGGCTGGCACTCTGCCCTTTGGTGGCTGCGGCGTTCACCGGCAAGGGGGAGATGGGAGCTGAGGAGGATGGGACGGGAGAGACAGACATCAGGAGTCCCGGTGAGGAAGCGGCGGACGGAGAGGTTAGAGAAACTTCCAGGCTGCAACGGGAGGACTCTGAAGCGGATTTAAAGCTAACGGGGTCCAAGGGAGACCTCTCGTGGCAGTCGGTCTCCACGGGGTTATGGAAACTGGAATAGTTGTGGCCCCCGGGCAGGTGTGTCTTGCCACGTAGGGTGCTGGCCCAGGTGAGGCTGGGAGCTTCATGTGGGCTCACACAACCAGGCTCTTCCCTGGGGCTGGATTCGGATACGGGCTCTACCTCGCCTTCTGGACTACAGGAGTCTCTACTGCTGCCCCCATCGTCTTTGTCACCAGCCTCCAGCTGCTCCTCCTTGATTTCCACCAGCGCTTTGCATTCTCCTTGGCACTCCACACTTCTGAAGGTGGGTTTCTGGTCCTCCCCTTCTGAATCGGGGCTCTGGGGCTGGGCCACCTTGAGCAAAGGGTCAGCGGGGGTCGCGCTCTGCTCTGCGTCTGTATCGTCCTGGCTTCCTTCCACCAGCATCTCTCGGCGCATCCGAGACCTGTCAAAGAAAATGACCATGGGGTTGTCGCATCCACAGGAGACACCCCCCCCCCAAAAAAATCCACCAGAAAGACAAACTCCAGGCTAATGTAACCCAGGAGGTTGAGAGCTACCTGAGTTACCTCAACTCCTGGACTGGGTTTGCACAACATAACTAACCCCTCCAGTTAAAGACCGGTGGGCTGCTTTCTCGTGACATGGCAAGCTTGGTGGGTTCCTGGTGGCTTAGCATGATGTTTTGCTGGGTTGTCCCCGATTTTGCATTTGCACCCAGATAATGATTTAATTTAGTAGGCATAAGTAGGTTATTGCAAACAAAGCCATTATATTTTTGTGGTTGCGTTCCCACCCAGCCAGTATGTAGTGCTACCTTTCATCGGTCATGAACTATCTGACACAAAGGAAAGTCTGTTTGGTGCAAATCTTAAAGACCCAGGGAGTCTGGATTCCCAGGAGAGAGGGGCTGCTTTTCAGAGGGCAAAGAATTGAGACAGGGAGAGTTATAACAACTCCTCCCTAGCAGTTCCCAGAGTATATTTATAGTTCCGCAAATAGCTGCTTTAGTCTGGCAAGATTCTGTCTAAAGGTGAAGAAGAATAAAGGAAACTACTCAAGTAACTCCACGTGCCATTCTTGGTTCTTGGGGTCTGACACAGTGGTGAAATCCTCTGCGGTTTGCTGCCCATGCATGCGTGGTGCATGCCAAATGCGTGCTGTGTGCGCATTCTCAGTGCGCACCAAACGTGCGCTTCACATGGAAAAAGGATGCTTAACAAGGTAAGTAGAACAGTGAGGAGGGACCATCTGTGCTGCTCAGATTCTCTAGAAAGCAGGATTTCCTGCTTTCTAGCAAATATAAATCTCACAGCACAGCTGATCGTCAGAAATATGATTTAGACCAACCAGTAGCTTTTTTTTTTACTACCAGTTTGCCGATCCGGTAGATTTTATCACAACCGGTTTGCCCGAACCGGTAGGATTTCACCACTGGTCTGACACAAGGCGGGGTTGACCTGTTTTTTACCTGTAATTGTGGAACCAGTTAATGACCGTGTTGGTCTTGAGGTTGAGCTGGAAGGAGAGCAGCTCTATCGTCTGCTGGGAGGGGTACGGTTCCAGCTGGTAGGCCCTCTTCAGGGTCTCCTTCTCCTCTGGAGCCAAGACCACCCTTGGCTTCTTGATCTGCAGGAGGCTGAGGTCTTGCAGCTGAAGGCTGGGACTGGGGCACTCGGAACGAGGGTTGGGGGACTCGCTGTCCGAGCCGGCACTGATCAGCCCATAACGACGTTTCAGATACGCTGCAGACGGGAGAAAATCGGAAGGAGCCAATGTTTTGGGGAGAAGTTACATCTTCACTTTTATAAATCCCAATCAGGCCATGGGTACTGAGAAGCTGCCACGGATCCTTGACTTAACGACCAGAATTGAGCCCAAAATTTCTGTTGCTGAAACATCGGCTAAATGAATTTTGCCCCATTTTACAACCTTTCTTGCCAGAGTTGTTAAAGTTGCCAAGGTTGGAGACCCCTGACTTAAAGGATATTGTTCTGACCTAGGCTTCCTGAGAAAGCATAAATCACAATTATAGTCCCAAAAAAACCCTCTTTTATTGAGACGGCTGTGAATTACGGTCATTCACAGCCTGTAATGATTCACAAACAGTCTGTGAAGATTCCTGACAGATGTCTGCTCGAGTGGACACAGTCTTTCAGGGTAATATTGATAAAGTACCCACCTTTATCTCCCTCGAAACGCTGCCAGAGACCTAATGGTCAATTAGTTTTGCAAGGCCAAACGGAGCACAGAGACAAACGGACTTCTCAGAGCTTGAATTGACTATATGAACTAATTGCTTCCTGCAAAGGCTCACATCCATTTGCTCCTCTTTTATGTCTTTATGGGAGGGGGCCAATCATCTCCAAGCCTTACTCCCGAGTCGCCCTTTTTTTTTTCTTAATTGTTCTTGCCTTCTGGCAGCTCTGTGCATGCGCGCATTGGGAACAGGGTCACACTGTTCTTCTGCCTCGCTGATGTCAGATTCATGAGGCTCCGGAGGCAGCACATAACTCCCAGATGGCCCTGGCCACCTCTCTGCCTCCTACGCAGAGCCCTCATCCGAGCCTTCCCCAGACTCCAGGACTGGCCCATGTTCCTCCCCAACCTCCTCACTGTCCGAATCTGCTGCCAGCTCTGCTGGCCACAACAGATATCATCTTAGAGAGATTTATGGTGGGTCGCCAACTCAGGTATAGTATCTCTGGAGGAGACGTGAGGCTCACCCCACTACAGGCTGCTGCACCCAACCCATCCTCTCCCTTGGCCACTGCAAGCCAAGAAGGTGAGGAATGAAGGGGCCTCACCTTTCTTCTCCAGCTTTTTCATGTCCCGGAGCTTGTCAATGTTGTGAGGGTCGTTCAGCCAGAGCTGCATGCGGACAAAGGGTTCCCTTCCCTTAAGGCTCAGTTTATGCCAAGGCTTGGGCCTTGAAAGGAGATCGGAGACCGATCCCTGCGTCAGACCCAGGATGCTCTCTCCGAAAAGGCGCTGACCTAAGTAGGGAGAGAAATTGGAAATTGAGATGGCGGTTTAGGTGCCAAGATAAAGTCATCGTTTTAAACAGGAAAGGCCCTTTAAAAGTTGGGGTGTTTCTTTTAACTTTACACACAGCTGTTGCCTTCAGAGGTTCTCTCATCTAGGGAGCAGCAGGAAATGTTTTCTCCCTCTTCCAAAGGATTGGGGAGAAGCAGACCCACGTTTGTCCTACAGGAGTTAAAATTTTACTCGGGGCTAATTCCAGCTGATAAGGAGAAGAATTCTGCCATCAACATCCACCCACAATGTCAGCCTCCAATTATTAACTGTTTCTCTGGAATGATAGATGCTTCTCAGTCCCTGACCTAATTCCCTTCTTAATCCCTCTGGGAACATACTACAGAAATACAAATACGATTAGCCGTATTCCTGGAACGGAGAAACCCCTCAAGAGCTTTTAGTACATCCTCGATGCTGGACCCCGACGTGTGTTCTAATTAGACAGCCTCCTTCTGCCCGGAGCTTTTTAATTTAGTTATCTCCACCCTACTAAATTGGCAGAAGAGAAGCAAAATATGCAGCGCTCAGATTAAAGCAAATGGCTATGAAGTCCTCAATCCCTGAAATTTCTGACCACGTTCTCGGTGGAAACATCTTCTTGGCCTCCGTCATAGAACAAGACCCCACCCAAGGCTCCTGAGAACAGGACCACCCGTGGCTTCATACCAGTGGTGGAATTCAATTTTTTTACTACCGGTTCTATGGGTGTGGCTTGGTGGGCGTGGCAGGGGAAGGATACTGCAAAATCTCCATTCCCTCCCCACTCTGGGGCCAGCCAGAGGTGGTATTTGCCGGTTCTCCAAACTACTCAAGATTTCAGCTATTGGTTCTTCAGAACCTGCTGGATTTCACCCGTGGCTTCGTACCAAGGTTGTTGTCGGTTAACACCTCCTTGACTTTCTTAGTGATGCAGTAGGTGTCCAACTCGGGGGACATGGCCACGATCTCCTGGATGCCCACGGAGTTGTGGTGGTGGTTGGGGCACATTTTGCCACTCAGCAAGGAGCTGGCTTTGCTTTCTGGCTGCTGGTTTTCTTTGCTGCTCTCCAGGGCAAGGCTCAGGGCCTCCGGGGGGCTTTTCTCTTGCTCAGAAGGACTGGCTGGAGGGGAAGGAGAAGACCGAGACTCTCTGGGGCTGGCTGTGAATGGAAAAAGAAAGAAGGGAGGATCTGATGAGATCAAATACGGACGGTTGTTTTCCAGTAGGTTGCAGAGAACAAGGAGAATGGGTTCCAGCACTGGAGAAGACCTCCACAGCCCTTGGGAGGGCATCTTCGTAGCACCTGAACTGATTTAAATAGCTAAAAGGCACCGCAGGAGAACAATAAATAGGGTGGCCAAAGGTTATGGGGGTTGCTTTGGCTGCCCAGAATAAATATGAAGGGAGGGCGAAGGACGGAGGTATCTACCTTGAGGCAGGCTGGCCTGCTGGCTGATGTTTTGGCCCAGCTGGTCGGAGAGCCAAAGCTGCATCCGGATAAACGGTTCCCGTCCCTTCTGGGTGAGCTTGCTCCACGGTTTGGGCCTGGACAACATGTCGCTCACGCTGCCTTGTGACAACCCCAGGACCTGAAGGAGAGGGAGGTTGTTTGCGATTCAGGCTCCTTAGCAGTCCCCACCTGATAAAACTGAGAGGAGGCCGGGCAGAAAGAACACAAAACATAATCTAACACTCAAGGAAAAAATGCAAGAGACCGGGAGGTGTATGGAGGAAAGCCTGAACTCCGACCAGCTGTGGAAACAATGGAGGGATCTCAGGAGCTTCCTGAAGGCCAGAAGATAAGGGCCCATTTGAGCCACGTGCAGAGCTCAGCATTCAAAGTCTTCAGGGCAAATATCTCATTCAAGGAAAAAGATAAATTCAGCCAGGGCAATAACGGGATTCTAATCAAGCGGCCGACTCAGGCTTGCTGGGAATCGGGGTCAGTCTAGGAAAAACACCGCAGGAATCAGAGCCCTCATGTTCCCAAGCAAGGATAATTTTCATTTTATTTCCCATTTCTCTGTACTTTGCCCTCCCTCAGTCTCACTCACACATTTTGCGTACCTTGTACTCAACACTACACACTCCCTCGGTCTCTCTACACTGGGGTGCTTCCGGACAACACAATTCCTCGGGATAATTGTGCAGCTCCTGTCTTTGAGGTTGGAAATGGGATCAGATTGGATCTAGTAACTTGGAAGGGGATTTCAAAGGGGACCAGAGGAACAGATGGAAGACAGATCTGTCAAAGGCCATTCGTCTTGAAGGCTCAAATGTTACCACCATGGCCGGGGAGAGCTTCCTTCCAAAAATGTCAGCTACAGGAGAACATCAACATGTCTCCATCTTCTACTTGAACACTCTGGGAAGCAAGTTAGTAGACCAAGAGGAGGTCTTGTTTGCTCCAGCACAACCGATCTTAAAACAAACAAACAAGTGACACCCTACCAGTATTTTTTCTTTCCTTAGCAATTTCCCCCCTGCTAAGAAAGAGGGTCAGGTGAAAGTTGGTGTCTTCTAGCCCATCTCTGCATGATAACAACCTTGTCTGGAAGCACCCTGTTGACCTCCCTTCTCAAGCCAGCCAACCTGGCTTCCTCGCGACTGACGATTGAGCTACCTTCTCCCCAAAGATGCGTTGGCAGATCCCGTTCTTGGCTAACTTCTCCTTGACTTGCCGTGTGAGTTCCAAGGTGTCCACTTCCTTGTACATGTACATCTCGTACTGTTCAGGGGTCAAGGGGGGGACGGTGGGCTTGAGAGTCCTTGGCACATAGGATGGGTAGTAAGACAAGCGCCCAGTTCCTTGGGCTTCCGAACCCACCACTTCTGACTTGACTTCTAGCACCCGGTGGGGTTCATCTTCCGAGGTGGGCAAGTCTTCCTCGTTTGGGCCAGAGTCCCCAGGTTCACCTCGTGGCCACCCTCGTCCGTTGGCCATGCTGGAGTAGCTGGACGAGGAAGAGAGGGAGGGTGACACCGAGGTGAAAGGCCGGTTGAGGAGGTTCCTGTCAGACGCCCAGTGCTGGTCAAAGTAGGAGCCGGAGTCCCCAATCTCGGACTTGACCTTGCGGATGATGTTCTGCACAAAGGCTGCAGGGGAGAGCACCGTCAGAGGGGCCGGGGTCGCACTGCAGCTGCTGCCGCTGGCGTTGGGGCCCAGCCCACCCCCTTCTTCCTGCTTGATGTAGGCACGGACAATGTTCTGGCTGAAGGAGGACAAAGGAGAGGGCTCTGCAGGGGGCGTGGAGATGGGTTGGCTGGGGCTGCCGGATTCTATCTCAAGGAAGGCCTGTTGCTGAGCTTGCATCTCGCGACGGGCCTGTTCCAGGATGTTCTTGATGGCGTCTTCTGAACTGCTGGTGCTGATGCCGTTGGTGGCTGCCTGGGGCGCGCAGGTGCTCTTCGCCTCCCCTACGGAGCAGGGCAAAAGAGAAGAAGAACGTGGGATGGAGTTCCACCAAGTCATCGTGAACCAAAATCAAGAGGAGCTACTTCATCAGAGCTACTCTGTGTCTGCACACAGAGCAACATGGTGTCTTAGGACGGGCCATGGGACACTTGGGGTCAAATAGGGTCCTTCCCCCCCCCAGACAATTCTGCTCCTTTGAATGGACTACTCTACCGTGTTTCTTGGAACCCAACTTCAGATTCTATGAACGATCTTTTCAGACTTCAAAACAGCAGGCAGAATCCAGAGTTTCTGAAGCGGTCCAGACCACTGACTTCAATCGGCTAATAATGCAATTGACCTTTTCACATCATTTCAGTCAATTGTAATCATTTGCGAATTGATGCTGATGACGTAGGGGTGTCAATTACGCAAATGAAGTACTAAAAAGCTGTCAGTTACGTCAATTTGAATTTAAGAGAATTTTGACTGGAAGGGACAGCCTCCCCCCTCCCCCCCAGTGGCCTTTTATTTGAGGTTTTATGGCCCGCCTCTGCTTGGACACGGAATTATTTCCTTGGCTTCAGGAACCCCAAGAGAGGTTGCAGAATTCCTACATAAAAGAACCGGCAGAGGGCAGCAGATGATACCTTAATTTCAAGGAAACTGAGTTAGTTATTGCAATGTTTAGAATATTTAAAGATTGCCCCTTATTTCATTGAGACTGAGAGAAGAAATAAGAATTTATTTAAGGAAGAATTTAAAAATGCACCCAATTAGGGCGGCCAAAGTTATGAAGAACTTAAGGCAACCTAGTCTTATCTTCCTATCTGGGCGACGGCCTCTTAATTTTAAATTTCAAAGGGCAAAAGGCCTCTACCAACCCCATTGGGCCCCTTACCTCCTTTCTGGGACTCAATCTCTTTCTTGGCCTGCTCTAAGATACTCTTGATGGCGTCGTCTGAACCAGTTTCTGGAGTCCTAATCCTTGGCGTAATGCTTCCTGATCAAAGACACAGAATAGAAGACTGTCATTTGATTTAGAGCAGCTCTAGTCACCTAAAGTCAAGGAATTACATACAGACACCTGTGATCTTCTTTTTCTCAGAAGCTCCTGTCTGAAGAAACATCTCTTGTTATTAGGGAGGGGGAATCTGAGTCTTGGACTTGAGGAATGGGAGATGACAGGAAATGAAAAACCTAATAATCCTGGAGCAATTCTTATCCTTGATTAAGAATCTGCTACAACGACTGAAGCCCAGGTCATACTTGTCTCAGAACCTTGGTCCATCTACTTCTGTAGAACCTCTGGTGGCTCTCCAGGGCTTCAGATAGGATGCATATACCATGGGTGAAATATGGAGGCCATCTAGGAAATAAGCTCGTTAAAGCTACAAACTCTCCCATAAATGATAAATATTGTAACAGAAATATAGACCGCTCTTCTTGGAGAAAGCAACTTTTGGGTTCTACTCAAGTTCTCTGACAGGCAGATTGGCGGTTCTAAGATACAAAAGGCTGTCTCACTGAGACAGAAGATGTTCCCAGCCCTCTCTGAAATGCCAGGGCTGATCATGGGAACTTCTGCAGGCCAAGTTGGACCTGTTGAGTTGCAACTTTCCCCCAAAGAGAAAGAGAAGTCATTCTGCTTCTGAATTATGTGGTGTGACTGGTCTGGAGGTCTTGAAAAATAGAGCTATGAATGATGTCCTGTTGGCAGCGCCAACGGGATAAATCAAACTCCCAAATCAAACTTCTCAAAGGACATGCTTGGTTGGTCCAACAGATTTGCTGTGTGTATTTCGTGGGGCTTCAAAATTGAGCTGTATCCTACTTCAAGTCAATTAGTGATAGCAGTATTACCTTAATTAAAACTCACTTAATTTGCAGAGGAGCCAGTTGTATCACCTCTTTGAGCCTGGCTCAGTTTTAATCATATTATTGTTCTTGAACCTGCAGAATAGACATTGCCTTGAAGAGATCCAGGCCAGGCCACAGAAACACTCGCAAGGGGAAGAGAAAAGAGGGGTAATCCAGGGAGGCCAAAACTGAGGGTGACTGATCTCGACTGGCTGGTTGGTCTTTGCTTAAGAAATCACAGAGAAGGTGGGAAGGCAGGGAGAACTTTGAGTTCAAAGCAGGAGGAGGAGGAGGAGTTGCGCTGAAGTGGTTCCTGGCCCCCTAAAGCAACACCCACCACCCCTCACCCCACCTAGGTTCTCCGCCTGGACCACTCACCTCTCTGGCGCACCTGAATCGTTCTCAGCGCTAGGACATTCTGCTCGTCGGAGAGGAACTGCTTCATCTTGATGAAGGGCTCTTTCCCTTTGACGGTCAGCTTGCGCCAAGGCTTGGGCCGGGCCAGGATCTCACTGACCGAGCCCTGCGAGAGGCCCAGGACGTAATGTCCGAAGACGCGTTGGCCAATGTTGTGCTTCAGCAGCTGCTCCTTCACCTGGAAAGCGATCTCCGCTGTGTCCAGTTGCTCCTCGTCGGCTGAGCTGGGATTGCTGCCTTCCGACTGGTCACTCGGGGGGCTCCCGTCGTTGGGGTTCGTGGGCAGCACCATCCCTTTGGCAGCATAGAAGGCGGAGGGGAAGCTGCCCGTGCTGCTGTTCTCACTCTTGTAGCCTGGGGGGCCCATCTGTGTGGGAAGAGGGGAGTCTCAGGTTTGGGGTTTGCCAGCACCCTGGCGCTGAAGACACAAATGCAGAGGTCCCCAGTACCTCCAGAGCTACAGTGGGGGCCAGCAGGGGCTGGAGAAGCGGAGGGGAGGTGGAGTCTTCCCTAGGCGGGTGCAGGAGCTGCTGGGGAGACGGGTAAGATTGCTCGGGGCCCATGGAGTCCTTCACCGACTCGTCTTCCGAGGCGTCCTCCTCTAGAGACCAAAGAGAGAGGAACACATACACACACCAACTATAGCTTCTCTGGACCATGCCAGCTGGGGATGATGGGATCTGGAGATCTGGTGGACAGCTAGGAACATTGGACAGCCTGGGAAATCCAGAGGAAGGAAGTGGTCTCCTCTGAGATGCTCACCCATGAGTTTTCTAAGGAAGACCCCGTTGTTGATTTACCGTATTTTTCAGTCTATAAGACACACTCCCCCCCCCCCCAACAAAAGTGGATGAAAATGTCTGTGCGTCTTATAAAGCTAATGTTGCCAAAGCCCCACCCACCTGCTCCCCCCCGCCCTTCAGCCTCTGCCTCCAAGCAATTTGCCTCCTTGCAGCAAACAGCCTGGTCAGCTTCAGCACAGCCTGATTTAGCACGAGCAGCTGATTAGCGGTTGGATCGGCCTCCCAGAATACCACAGATCAGCTGTTCCAGGCTGCAGGGATCACCACTGCCCATCGCTGTTGTCGTCACCCATTGCCACTGCCGCCTATTGCTGCCTCCCCGCACCCCGTTTTTGGCCTCTGCGCATCCTGTTTTCAGCCCGTTCCAGGCAGCGGGGCTTGCCACCGCTGCCGCCAATCGCCATCACCAGAGTTCAGCGCCAATAGGCGGCAATCGTTACTGCCTGGAATGGGCCGAAAATGGGACATGTGGAGGCCAAAAATGGGATGCACGGAGGCAGCAATAGGCAGCAGCGGTGATGGGTGACAACAGGGCCATGGGTGGCGGTGATCCCCACAATCTGGAACAGCTGATCTGCGGTATTCTGGGGGGCTGATCCAACCACCAATCAGCTGCTCATCCTAAATCAGGCTGTGCTGAAGCTGACCAGGCTGTTTGCTGTTTGCTGCAAGGAGGCAATTTGCTGGGAGACAGAGGCAGATTTTTCTTTTCTTGTTTTCCTCCCCAAAAGCTAGGTGCGTTTTATGGTCCGGAGCATCTTATAGTGCGAAAAATATGGTATTTAAGGCATTTTTACAGCTCCTTTAGCCAATTGGAATGATTTATAGAAGAGGAATAAGTGGATAGCTGGCTGGCTGGGGAATTTTGGGAGTTGAAGTCAACATCTTCAGGTTGCCAACATATATATTATATATATATATTTATTGAATTTATATCCCGCCCTTCTCCCCGAAGGGACTCAGGGCGGTGAACAGCCGAAAATTAAAATAACATACAATATAAAAGTTAAAATAACTAAAAATAAATTAAATTAATCGGCCTCCCAATTTAAAACCCCAAGCTATACAATTAAAAAACTAACCCATAAAACCTATTCAGGCCAGGAAACATGGAGAAACACTGCTCTAAAATTACTGAAAAGGTCCCTTCCCCTGCCTTAAACCTCCCTCCTGCTGCTTCCACAATTCTAATTTATTAAGCCATCTGTGCAAAGGATTGTGTGTGCAAATCCATGCGTGGCTAGTTGGGGAATTCTGGGAGTTGGAGTCCATCCGCCTGAGAACTGCTGAGGCTGAAGAAACGCTGTTCTGGTCCATCCCTTTAACAAAAAAATAATCCCAGCAAGGGCCTTTATATTGACAGATCTTTCTTCCCCTCAATCCGTTCGCCATCCTACCAGGACTGGTGGCGAGGGTTGGTTTTTCCAAGAGATACTTCCGAGATGCGTAGAAGGAGTCTTTTTCCAGAAACAGGGCATCGGAGGGCTTTGAGATACTCTAAATAAACGACAAAACAAGACGAACGAGGATTAGAACTTGCTCCTTCTTTTCCTTCATTTTTCTTTTAAGTGGCACCCTGACTTTCTGCCCTCGCCACCCATCAACCCAAAATACCCTCATGCGTAGCACAAAGACCACCAACAAAAATAACTCAATTAAAACGGCAACTTGTTCCAGTCAACCCTAAAAATGTGGCAATTAGTTCAGCCATCTGATCGGGCACCACTTTCCTGTTTCTGCTGTGAATTTCCTGTTCTTCGCCGCTTGGAGAACCATCTGGTGGAGTAGCAGGGGGTCAACGCAAGAAATAAACAAAGGCTCAGAACTACCAATCCAAGAATTGGAAGTCTGGTGGATCCAAAGAGTTTAAATTTTAAAAAATGATCCATGGAACGAGAGAGATCTTTCTCAGCAAGGATCATCAAAACTTCAGGGATTATTTATTCTGTACAGTATCCACTGAAAATACTTCTGAAGTGGGCAGGATGCAGGCAAAACTCTTCCCAAGTCTTCCTTCCTTCCTTCCTTCCTTCCTTCCTTCCTTCCTTCCTTCCTTCCTTCTTTTTTGTGCACCATGCCCAGAAATATTCAGAAGCCAGAGAAGATATTTCAATTGTTGGGAAGTTTTTCAAGGTGCTGATTTCCCTTGCTAGATAACCCTTCCGGTCTCAGCCCCCTTGACCTCTGACGTCCAGCAAACACTTTTCGAAAACAGAGCGCCTAGTGCCTGATAACCTGATCGAGGCTGAAGCTAAGGTGTGTGTGCACCTGTCGGGAAGGTTTCCAACTTGCCTGGGACAGGTTGCAATCGGAGGAGGCCAGCTTCATTGCTTTCAAAATGCTGCAAAAGAAAAGGGGGGGAAATTAGGACCTAAAAAGAGCTTCCAGCCAGGCCCGGATCTTCTGCAGAGCTACATTTGAAGATAGAAAGCAGGCAGGGACCTTCACTTGTGGCCTGCCTCACATCCTCTTCATCCACTCAAATCTCACGTGCAAAGCTTGGGTCACCACGACTGAGAGAGGTAGACATCTCTCTGGGTCCCCAACCTTTCCAGCTTGGCGGCCTGGCCTGGCATGTGCGTGTGTGTGCGCGTGTGTGTGTGGCAGGTGCACGCACCCCACTCCATTTGTCCGAGTGGTGGGCGCACACACCCTCCACTTGTGTGAATGAAGCTTTGCACGCGACTGGAGTGTGTTTGAGTGGAGGGCACGCGCACAATGACCCATTCGTGCAAATGGAACTTCGCACACGAGTGGAGTTTTGCACGCGCACGCTTGCCCACCGCTCACACATGGTTAGCGAAGGCCTCCTACAGAGAGGTGGACCGTTGATATAACCCAAAGACAGGGGGAATCCTACCTCAGTTCTGTCTTGACCTCTTCGTAATCTGATTGAGCACGAAGTTTTTCTTCCAACTTCTAAAGAACACAAAAGTGCAAAAAGAGAGAGAGACACACACACACAGAGAGAGAGAGATATTTAAAAATCCTAATTCAAGGGCAGAAGTTTGTGGCCTGAAACAAATCTTAAGACGGAATGAAAAGGCAGAGCTTTCTTCCACATTTTGCTTAGCACATCGTTAGCCCAGCTCAAAAATTATTAAAATGTTATCTGTGTTATAGACAATGACACCTATTCACAGCACCCTGCGTTCATCTTTAACTAAGTGATGGGACAAAGTACGTCATTGGTGATTTGGCCAAGATTAAATGGAAAACCCTTCCATCCCATTTTAATTCTTGGAACATTTATCCGACTGTCTTCTCTTTTAACCTTAGGGAGGGTGAAGAGCAAGGATTCAATTTAATTTCCCCCCACACCCGATTCTTGGGGAAATGCCACAGAAACGATACCCACTTCGATGGCCTCGCTTTTGGCTGCCAACTGCCGTTCCAGGTCTGCAATCTGATTGGCTGAAGAATCCTCCATTTCTTGCATGGAGTTTTGCAAATGTTGAATTTCCTTGAGAAGCCGAAGAATTTCCCGATCCTTGGCGGCCAGGGCGGCCTCTAGACGTGGACCCGGGCACAAAGAATAATTCACTTTGTCCTGCAGAAAGAAGGCATCTCAAGGGAAGGATCTACTAATGCTGAGGATTTCTCTATGTTCTGACCTAGGCTTCCTAAGCACACAATTAGTCCCAAAAACCCTCTTTTCATTTCAACGGCTGTGAATTCTGTTCATTCCCAGCCCATAATGAGTCACAAAGAGTTTGTAAAAAGTCCGGCAGAAGTCTGCCACAGTCCTTCGGGATAAGGCTGATAAGCACCACCTTCATCTCCCTTGACACACTGCCAAAGACCTAATTGGCAATTTGCTTTGCAAGGCCAAATGGAGCACAGAGTCAAAACAGAGCTTCAGAATTTAAACCGATCAGCATGAACAAAGTTGCTTCCTGCAAAGGCTCACGGGCCTTTGCTCCTCCTTTATGTCTTATGGGAGGGGCCAATCATCTCCGAACCTTACTCCCAAGTCGCCCCTTTTTTCTTAACTGTTGTTGCCTTCTGGCAGCTCTGCGCATACGCGCACTGAGAACAGGCTCCCCCTGTTCCTTTGCCTCGCTGACTTCAGACTCTGGAGGCTCTGGATTCAGCACATAACTCCCAGATGGCCCTGGCCCCCTCTCTGCCTCTGACCCTCGTCCGAGCCTTCCCCAGACTCTAGGACTGGCCCATGGTCCTCCCCAGCCTCCTCACTGTCCAACTCTGCTGCCAGCTCCGCAGGCTGCCGGCGGACCACAACACTCTAGCTAGAAATAACAAGGACTACATTCTGGATTTTTTCCCCCTTAGGTCAATTCTAGACAGGCTATTTCATGCATCCTTATGAAAGACACATGTCTGCTTCTTGCAAAGTCCTCACTAGAATCATCTCTATCTTCACAGAAGGTCCTGCTCTCTCAACCAGCAGGAGAAGTCATATTAGCTGCTCCTCTTCTAAAGCTGAAGGTAGACACAAGGCCCCGAACAGCAAATGGGCTGGACCCCCTAGCTTAAGACTTGGAAGCCAACACCAAAATGAAATTGTTCCTCCACATTAGATTAGTCTGGTCTGCATCGAGCTGATGGCAACCAGAATTCGTAGAATGAGAAGTCTGGAAATGGAAGATTTGTGCTTCTGGAAATTCCCATGGGAGCCCGCTTTCCTCATTTGATTGATGAGGGTCCCCTTCTGGTCCTCCTCACCCCACTTGGTCCTTGGGGAGAACAGCAAGCCAAGCGAAGGGAGCTGTTTACAGCGGCAAGCTGTTCCCTCAGGCTCTCCACCTCCCTCTGGGCAGCCTCAGCTCTCTAGAAAAGAGAAGAATCAGAAGCGTCACAACTTTTGACAGAAATGTCATGCCAGAGGACCTTCAAGTTATTTTCATTGATAAGCCAAAGCCTTCAGTCCATGACCGGCTGTTGCTTACCTGGTTGGCTTTTTCAAGATTTGTCATAATCATGGCCACTTCATCTGTCCTAGGGCAAGAAGAGAAGAGTTAGGGTTGACTTCCAAAGCATCTACAAAGGCAACTAGGAGTAGATGACACCATTTGTTCCTCAGGGGCAAAGAAGCAGGAACCAAGCAAAAGAGGTCCTCAGGTTGTCATGGAAAAAGCAAACATCCAGAGATGTTGACCTGCCCTAGTTGAAATCTCCAGTGAATTGGGCTACATGGTGACTTAAGTGTTAGATAGTGGGGTGAGGGGTGGTGAACCTTTCCTATCACCTTGAAAAGGGATGGAAAGTAGCAGCAAAATGCCTGTCCTTCCCACTTCTCCTTCCATGCCTCCTCATTCAGCATGTACGAGCCCCGGTCTTGATCAAAGGCAACGTTATTTCACACCAGGAGGTGCCAGAAGGGTACACATGACCGGATCAAAGCCCATCTGGTTCGGTATGATACGATTAAGTATTCTTAGCACCGTCACATATGAGAGAAGAAAACGTTGGGGATTGTAGTTACAGCAGAACATCAGTGAGGATGCTGGGAATATTTGGAAGCAGGAAGGAAAGAAACCAAGCACCCATGCAACGATACGGACATTTCTACTCAGCTTCTACAATTTCTTTAGCCTCTCTACTTATTAAGGCCTTTCAAATGTTCATCCGAACATCTATTTAGACACCAGGCAACCCTCACAACCTGACTGGAAGACATAAGCTATAAGGACAAGCACCTCTGACTGGATACAACAAACCAACCAACTTACTTGGAAGCTGCCTCTTCGTCATATTTACATCGCAGGTCAACCAGCTCCGTCTGGGTAGCCTTTAGTGCTGGCCAGCAACGGGGAGAACATAAAAACAGAGAGTAAGAAATGTACTTCCAGTGGATTGTGCTTAAAGAATGCTACTCGGGGCTAGTAAATATTCAGTCATAAACTGGATACTAGGATAATTAGGGAGAAATGGAGATATTTGTGGACCCGTTGGCTCCAACAATTATCTCCACTTCTTTCTCAACCCACTCAAGAGGCTTAAAATTGAGCAGAAGTTCTGGCAATGAGCTGCAGATCCTGGCATTTGCCATGTACCATCCTGGTTTGCATTGCTCCCTTTTAGGATGATGGATTGAGAGAGATTGTGACACTTATTCAAGTTAGTTGAGTTCAGTTAAGACTGACATTTCTGGATGAACTCAAAGTATATATTTCATTCATTGGGCAGCAGAGGGTTACATTTTCAAAACTTATTTTGAATACAAGCACTCTCTTTCTCACTTCCATGCAGGCTGACTCAACCTGTCCGAGCCAAACACTAATTTCAGGTAAGGGCTGGATGTCCTTAAAAAGGGAAGGGTTTGAGAGACTGAAGGAAAGAGAGAGGTTGGCCATCACTTCAATGTCTGAGAGAAAGCAGCAGACATCAGAGAAGCAAAGAAAATTGGACTCCTCTCTTTGAGTGAAGAGATGATCTTTCAACAGATACAAAAAAGCAGCTTTTTCTTAAAGAGCTAAATGGAGCAGACAGAAGGTGCCATGCTGAGCTTCACAAATACATGAACCCCACCAAGAATTAACATGGGCCCAGGAGGAAGCCATGGGAAATGCTCTACCATCTTCAACCATATCTCCATCGATCATTAAAAGTACCTGAATGCAGGACTTTGATCTTCTCTTCTGCTTCCCCCAGCCGGCTGGCCAAAGTGAACTGGGCTTCTTGAAGGCCCCTAAGAGAAGAGATGTATCTCCTTGAGTTGATGTGGCACCCACATCAAAGCCCAGAAGAAAGCAACCTTCTCCAGCCTGAGGTCCATCCCCTTGGAGTCAGCCTCCCATTCTTCCCAATTTGTTTGAATAATTTGGCTGAGGAAGTTGTCACTGGTTTTGAAGAACATCTAGAGAACTTCTTCGATTTGAAAGAATTAAAAGGAAAGGCCTGTCTAGAGATACGTCTGTCAAGAGATATACTTGACTTCTTTAAAAAGATAAGCTGGGTTTTGTTCCCAAAGAAAATCTGTGGAAAGTGCTGAAAAATGTTGACAGATTTTGATTCATGGTTTTTTTTATTTATTAGTGTATGGTTGAGTCTCAAACACAGCAATAGAGTCTCGTGAAATTGTAGAGGAATGGTTTTTCCAAGATCTTTGGAGCTCACTGAGGAAAAACAGGTGCTTCTTACACAAAATTCCTTCTAAATCCTCAGGCAGCATAAACGTGGTTGCAAGTTGAACCATGAAGCTGAAGCAACCTTTCTAGATCTTGGAAAAAATAGAAGGTGAAGCCTCAGGTAAGGCTGGACTTAACCACCTTCTTTTTTTGTTTGTTTTCCTTTGAGGAGAACAATTCTCCCATCTACCTTCCCATCCTCACCTCCTCCCGGCTCATACTCACGTACTTTTGCTTCTCAACCTCATTTCTCTGCAACAAGGAGTCGGTCAGCAAGGCTTTGCTGTTGAGCCCAGCAAGCTTGGCCTCTGAAACCGCCAGTCCACCAGGGAGGGTTCCTTCTTTTTGCTCTGTGGGGGAGGGGCAATCTACATCAGCAACAGGGTCGGTCTAAGCCGGAAAAATCTCAGCGAGTTATCCTTGCTGTCTGCCTTCTTTAGATCATTTCAGCTGTGGTCAACCAGCCATGGATTTCTAAGGCTCACAGAATGCAAAACCTCCTCATTTCAAGCATGCCCTTGAAGCTCTAATGCAGGGATCTCCAACCCTGGCAACTTTTAAGACTTGTGGACTTCAACTCCCAGAGTTCCTCAGCCAGCTTTGCTTTGCTGGCTGAGGAATTCTGGGAGTTGAAGTCCGTAAGTCTTAAAGTTGCTAAGGTTGGAGACCCCTGCTCTAATGGACCCTGACTGGACTCTGAACCTCTCCCTGTGCTGAGGCAACAGGGAAGTTACTACTACTTTACTTTAGGCTGCCAGTGGAAGAACCAGGATCACTTGGGTACCTTTGGGGAACAGCAGCTCCTTCTTCCAGGTCCGGTTCAACTCCTTCAACGGGGGTTTCTCGGGGCCAAGGCAGTGGAGTGGCTGGTGCCGCCCTTCAAGGCTGGGCACAGGATCTGATGGAGGGGAGAGGAGAAAGGCAGAGGTGACCTTGGAGATCCATCACATGCAAAAGGTATCTTCCAAAGAAAAGGAGGACAGCATTGATGCCGTGTTCCTTCAGAGGAGGAAGCCATTAGCTCGGCCCAGACATCCCTAAGAGGTCAAGCTTTCAAATTTCAAAGAATGAAGCAAAAATGTAAAATCACTAACATTAGGAGAGAGAGAGAGAGAGAGAGAGAGAATGGGTGATTAGATACAATAGATAGATGATAAATAGATATAAAAGGGAGAGAGGGTAGATGAGAGAGAGAGAGAGAGAGAGAGAGAGAGAGGGAGGGAGGGAGGGAGGGAGAGAGAATAGATGATAAGATACTATAGATGATTAATAGATAGAAGAGAGAAAGAGAGAGAGAGACCTTCCAAAAGGATTTTATGCTCCTTCTGTAGAAGAGGTATGTGCATTATTTTGTCTCCCTGGTCCTATTAAGGAGGACACTATTTTCTCAAACATTTTGCCATCCCCAAAATAGAAACCCAATGCCGGGATGTTCTCCGTGTTGAAACAGAATATATATGCTGTGTTTGCCTCTTGCAATTCGTAGGGCTCGAGGGGGGGGGGGGAAGAGTTGGTAAGCCAGGTCAGAAGACGAACCTTGAGGGATGGCTGGCTTCTCCTCCCCACTCCCCATCCTTGATCTGAAAAGAAACGGGGGTGGGGGGAGAGAAGCGAGAAACTGGCCCCATTTTTCCACATTTATTAAAAATGATCCAGGCTTGTAAATTAATTTGTTTGTGTCGTACAATGGCGGTGCAGATGGACTCATTAGCATGCACACAACAAACAATTAAGGATGCATTTTTTTAGCCGGCCTTCCTAATGGGGTTTGCTGGGTTAATGATGTCAGTGTATAATTACCTTGGCCTGGGAGGCGTTAGGGAGCCCCTCCCCCAACCAGGCAGGGCTGGCTAATAACGGTGGGTTGCCCCGGGAGAGGAAGGGGCCTCTTGGGAGCACACCTGTTTACCTTGGCAGAAAACCACCACCCTGCTCTCTGCCCACCTCTGCCTAAGCAAACAGGCGTTATGGGCAATCTGTGCCGTGGGATGGAAACAGTGGCACTGAGGGGCAGACGCTCCCGAAAACTGCCCCGGAAGGAGCTTCTCTCTCAGCCACCAACTGGCTCTGCCCCACCTCCCCTCCCTTCAGCCTTTAACCTTAAGGCGGGACAGCGAATGCAAAGGGCGCCTTGTATAAAAAATATATATGTATTTTTTAAAAAAAAGATGTCATCTTCCTTACGGCTACAGATTTAATCATATGCACCGCAGATTTAGCAGAGTAATCAATCAAATCTGTTTTAAATCAATGCAGAGTTCTTAATGAGACGAGAGCTTTGACCAAACCGGGGGAGGGGGTGGCGGGAGAAACCCAGCCAGATCTGCAAATACAGCATACAGCAAAACCATTTTGGCCTCGGATTTCTGCATGGGCATCAGCCACCACGGACCTCTGCAGCACAAAGATGCCGGAAGGTCTTAACCAGAGGTGTTCAACCTTGGGCCCTTTAAGACTGGTGGACTTCAACTCCCAGAGTTCCCTGGCTGGAGAATTCTGGGAGTTGAAGTCCACCAGTCTTAAAGGGGCCAAGGATGGACACCTCTGATTTAAACACTCCCAAGCGCTCGTAAATGTTCCAGCCTTTGTCTGAGCCTGGTCTGATGCTCAGGAGTACCTGTTCAAATGGGGACCCACCAAGAGACAGTGCGCGGGGGCAGGTATCTTCCTTGCCAGGGCCAAAGAGGGACCAAGAATTGGAGGCCATAAAAGGGCAGTTGTGTCTCTTGTCAAAGACCCATGTGTTGACATATGTCAGCCACAGTGTGGGTCATCAGTGGGGGACATGGAGCATAGCTGGTCTTGGAGCAGTAGGAAATAAAGGCCGGCTAACTTCACAACTGTTAATACCATCTAAGATAACGATATGGGCCATTAAGCCACACGCTTGAAGGTGCTGGCTGATGAGCAGGAATTCCAACCGCCAGCTCTACTGGAGACGGAAGGGGCAGTTTTGGCTTCAGGAAAGAGCAAAGGGGCTTGGAGGTCCAACCTGGGGGTCACAAGCAGCTGAGGCAGGGCCAAAGGTGAGGACATGAAGATGAGTCTTCCTAGATGTGTCCAATGGTGCCCAACTGATAGCTGGCTTCTCCCAGTAACCCACTGTTCCAGAATTGCAGCAGACTCAAATTCATGCTCAATCCAAAAAATCTACCTGGCAACTTTGGGCCAGTTCCTATTTTCTAACACCTCAAGGGTTTATTAGGAGGACAGCAAAATCTTGGAAGGAGGAGAAATGAGAATAGTTCTTTTTATTGCTCTTGAACACAACAGGCTCCCAATTCAGCCTTCCAAGAGAGAACCTGGACTCCAGTGGGTCTGGCAGCACCTTCTTCTCAAAATGCCCTCTCCACTTTCCGTCTCTGCCTGCAGCCGGCCACAATCTGTAGCTGCTTCCCATGAAGAAATCCCTGTGTACGTCGCCTGTGGTTAAGGCCAGCTCCAACCACAGCATGCCCTGAGCAACTCTGGTTCCCGAGGGGCTCTCCAAATCCTCCCAAACACAGCCAGGACAGAAAGCCAAAGTGTTGGTCACTTTCTGCACCCAGGAGGCAGATCTTCCCACATGCAACCAGGACACCAACAGACCAAGAACCCAAGGATCCCGACTGTCCACCCAGGCTCTCTCCTTGCCTGGCCCAGGAGATGCCCCCATGAAGCCATTCGCCCTGGGGGAAATTGCTAACGTGGAGACAAGCAAAAGTCCATCTTTAGAAGGTCTCGGCTGTCTTCACTGTGTTGATTGAGGGAACCTGCTTGTTTAGCTGCATCTTCAGTCTGCAATTTTGGGGACTCTTAGAAGCAGGACTGGAGCTACACATCTTGTGGTCAACCCCCAACCCTGGCCATTTGGAGGAATCCAGCTTCTTTCTTAAACATTTCACTTAGCAGGTAAACAGAGCTGTTTTATCAAGTTTTATCACACATAAGCAACCTAAGGGGTTTAAGCTCCCAAATTTCTACTTTGAAATCCCCAGAAAGCTCCATTCCGCCTCCTGTGTACCGTATTTAGGTTTCCCTCATATGCACAGCCCGGTTCTTACTTAGCAAACTATTTTTTTCTCCCCCTGTTGTGTTCCCGTGGAGAGGGAGCGACGCATGCAAAAGACAATGAAGAAATCAGTTGTCACTGCCACACGAGTTGAAATGAGGCTTAAATCAATCCATTCTCAACAATGACTTTAATTATGCTTTTAACATTATTTTACTGCTTCCTCTCCACCCTCCCTCTCCTCTCCGTGTCCGACAGAGACGCCCGCCTAGCCCGCTTCCCCACGCCACATCTGGGTGAACAATATCAGAAAAATTTATGATATTTCCCCCCCCTTCCTGTAATTACAGACAGCGCAATCCCAGGCTCAGTGTATCAAAACACTTGCTGAGCAACACACTTTTTCTCGGGTGAGGTTTGCGCAGACAGAAGCCATTCAAGCTTCGAAAGGAAGCGAGGAAGAGGAAAGGCAGGAGGAGGAGGAGAAGGAAGGAAGAAGGAAGGGAAGAAGGGCATGTGTGCGAATCACTCCAATAAGGCCAACTGGAATTAAAATATGCATCAGATATTGGGATGTGCAGGTATTTTTGTTGATTAAACAAAGGGCCTCGGTAGGACAATGGCTGCAGCTTGTTGTGGTCTTCAGATCCTGGAAAGTCAGAGGCCCCTCAGCTTTCCACCGTTTCATTCCTAAGAGGGTCTTGTGTAACAAGACGGTTTCCAGGCATGAGAGCCAGGGAGGGTTTTTCTCATCCGAGATGGAGCTCCAGATCAGGGGTCCCAAATATTCAGGATCACCTTCCTTCTCTCCCTAAGGTTCCTGACTAGATCAAGAGTGCTTCCGAAGAGTGCAGTGCACACCCACCCCTTCCGAGCCTGCCTGAAGAAGGAGACCCAGCGTCCATACCTGGGGCTTTGAGTAATTGCTTGTAAACACTCAGGAACGCTGCCTCGGCTTCCTTGGTCCGTTTGCTGAGAGCAACCACCTGAGGGAAACATAAAAACAAGACCCCGGTTGAGAAACCCGGGAGAGAAAGGGCACCACCAGAATAAAACCTGGGAATCAGGAAGGAAGAGTTCCATAAAATTAGGAAATACCCAGCTATACTTGCAACTGCAAATATTACCCTAGAAATCTAACCTCAACCTCAGCGAAGCTCTTGTAGATACATCCCAACTTGATCGACTTCTAGTGAAGTAACGTCTGGTGGAGGAAAACTAATGTAAGGCTGGGAAGGAAGGAAGGAAGGAAGGAAGGAAGGAAGGAAGGAAGGAAGGAAGGAAGGAAAAGGGAGGGAGGGAAGGAAGGAAGGAAGGGAAAAAAAGGGAGGGAGGGAGGGAAGGGCTCTCCCACCCCATCCCCTTAATCAAATCCAAATCAAATCAAATCTTTATTGTCAATGCACAACATGTGTACAATGAGTTTGAATGAGCCTCCCTTTTCATTTTAAAAGGACAAAAACAGAGATTGCAAATCTTTCACCCAAGACTGAATTTAACTGGCTTGTCATTCAGAAGGGAAGCATTTACAATTCTCCAGGCACCAGAGCGACCTGCCTTGGCTGCTTCCCTCCCCTTCCTGATGGAGATCGCCTTACCTTGAGCCTTCAAGCACGTTTCTCGCCTTCTTTACACATTCAGATGGAGCTGAAATGTTACCAACCAATCCGTGGTCAGTTTCCACAAACCCAGAATCGGCCTAACGCAGAAGCTTCTGTCCTGGTTCAGTTACAGTTATAAAACAGAGGAAGCAAGTCCTCCAATACAACCTTTTTTTGGAACCCCAGAAACTGTGGCCCCAGATGGTGAGGGCAAATTTGGAGGAATGATAACTTGATAGTTGGAGAAATGGGGGAAATGGTTGGAACAGAGGAGGGGGAAAAATCCACCCGGTTTGGTGATGCCAGGAGGTCCTGGACTCGCCTGTTACGGTTCTTGGACTCCCACTTTGGAAGGTGCCCCTCAACAGTCTTGAGGTTTCCCATATCTGTTCTGGAAACAGGACTAAGTCCAAGAAAGAGAGGACTTCTCCTCATTGCCCCTTCTAAGTGACTTAGATTCAGGGGTCTCCACCCTTGGCAACATTACGACTTGTGGACTTCAACCCCCAGAATTCCTCAATTGGCCATGCTAGGAGTTGAAGCCCACAAGTCATACAGTTGCCAAGGTTGGAGACCCCTGGCTCAGATGCTGGAAGAATGGCTTGCGAGGGACCGAGTAAACCCAAGAGACCTCAAAACTCCATCCTGGGAGTCTGGCTGAGAGGTCCAGGTGTTCCATCACCTGTCCAATGAGCCAAAAGGGAAAGAAGCTCTCGCAAAGGGAAATCAGGTAAACTAAGGCTCTTGACAGTTGCTCTCACTTGGCTGCCTGAATGAAGCGACGCATCCCTGGCACACGTTCACAGTTTGCTCAAGCCCCAAGAAGACAGCGGCTACAGCCAGCCGGCCGGCCAAAGAATGCTTGCATGGTAGGCCCATCTGTTCCTAGCCCTTGGCAGAGAAGCTCTGAGAGGTTGGTCAAGCCCATTTGGGGAGTGGGCTACTACATTCATCCCCCTTGCTGATCTTCTCAGCAAGGGGAATGAATGTAGTAGCCCGCTCCCCAAATATTCTGTCCTTGCTCCCCGGAATCTGAACCCCCTCCCTCCCTCCTCTGACTTTTAAACCTCGACATATCATTAACTTTTTCCTTCTCTGCGTGTTTCTCTCTTTCTGCCTTCCACGCACCGGACTCAAGGTGAGAGAAAACACAACTGCACACTCCGCAACGACACAAGATTGATGAATTACATTTCTGCTCCGGGTCTTTTCCATGGCTGGTGATTTTCCAGCAAAGCAATTATCACCATAGAATACATAATGGCCTAATTAATTACTACTGTCAGACCGGCCTCTATGCTATGATTATACCTTATCAAGGCATCTCTCTCTCTCTCTCTCTCTCTCTCTCTCTCTCTCTTAAAGCAACACTGAGAAGCAAAAAATATTATTGCAATGGAGAGATTTTTTTTTTAAAGTTGTCTTCTGTCTCTGCTTCTCCTTCCTCCTGCCTTCAATCTTTCTGTTGATATTTTGTCTGGGTTTATACTCAAAACAGCTCAAAAATGCCTCTAAGTGTAATTATTCCCATTCAAGCTTTAAAATCAAAGAAATGCTTAACGAGAAATGGAGCAATGGCTGACTTAAAGGAGAAGAAGAGAGGAGAGGAAAAAGAGTTTTAATAATTTACACAGCCAAGAAGACGATGCCACTGAAGGAAAGGAAGTTGCTGCTGGCCATCCATTTTTGTCCCAATACTTCCTGACAGACACAATAATGCTGTGGCAAAGCTTTTTTTCTCCCAAGGATGTTCCTCTCGTTAGAACTTTTTCAACCAAGCCCATCTCTCTCGTGCCACAGGGCACCTGCTTCCCGCCTCTTCCACCCCTTGGTGGGAATATCAGCCGGGCTCAAGGAGTACCAGCAAGTTCTCCCAGGTCTCTGAAGGTGGCCTCAACCATAGAATGCATGCAGTCTGCTCCAAGCCCTCCTCCAAATGCTCTCGGCCCCTCAAAATCATTTCCAGCCCCCCCCCCCCAAGTCTTTCTATCAAACGTGACTCTTGGGAGCTGCTGGGGAGGATGGGTTTCAAACTCTAATACTGCCCAAAGACGAAGCATTTTCTCGCCTGAGGAGGACACAAGGGTGATGCCCAGGACTTGGTACGGCCACAGCCCGTGATTCTATCCAGGGAAGAAAATGATGGGGGCAAATGGGGTGCTCCTGAGCTCACCTTTCCATAAAGCCTGACAGGTAGATAAGGGCTGGTTTTTATTTTTAAAAGAATGATGTAAAATGCAGAGGAATGTAAGAGTGATGTCTTCAAAACTACAGCCGTTGGTCTAAATTGTGTTGACTTTCTCACACAAATTACTCAAAATCTCACTACTGGTTCTCCAGAACTGGTCAGAAGCTGCTGAAACCCACCTCTGCTCTGGAACTGTGGCCGCTCTCCCTGTTGTTTTTTTTACAGGGGTCCTGTGGGGCCTTTTTCTTTTTTCTTTTCAAGTTAGCACTTTTGCATTGTTTTAATAATGGCTTTTTAGCATATGGCTGGTATTGTTTTACGTTGGTAATTACTGCATTATGTAAATTATGCTTTTAATGGTTGTTTTTAATTAAGCTGTTTGTTTTGCATTCTTTTGACCATTAGCCATTCCTTGGTGGAAGAGCAGGGGATAAATCCAGGGAATAAATAAATATGCAAGGAAGCAGTTTTGGAGCCCTGATTTGGGAGAGAAAGCAGATTCTTGAAAGTCAGCGAGCTGAGGATGAAGTGGCCCAGAATCTGGATATTTGAAATAGTCTCAGGATGTCATCGTGAGAGAGTCAGAGTTGCCTTCCTTAACTTATTATCTTAAAATTATTTTTTTTCCAGCATCTGAGAAGAGGGAGAAATTAGCTGACCCAGCCATGATTCTTTTGACTTCTTGCTCTGCCATCAAGTCAATGTTTCACCTACATTTTCATGTAAGAAAATTTTTAATTTAGATATTTTCATCCCTCCAAGAAAAGGAGGAGGAGGAAGAGAGAGAGAGAAGAGAGAGAGAGAGGGAGAGGGAGAGAGAGAGAGAAGGAAGTTTCAAATAATGACTGTAATAAATGAAGGTAATTAATTGTAGTTTGTTCCTTAACTGTCTAGTCAGCTTAATTTTACCTTTTCATCTAATAATGAGAAAATAATTTTTGTGCTCTGAGGGTTAATGATATGTAACTGCAAGAGCTGCTAATTGCATGTTGCAAACTATTCATCAGAATCCCCATCTGTGCTACTTGATTATGTTTGCTAAATTATTGCTTTGAATTATCTTTCATAAAGCAACTTTTGTAATTAGCAGGGCCCTGGCTCTGCTCTTTTTGCTGTCTGAAAGGAAGAAAGAAAAAAAAAAAAAAGCAAACCAAGAAAAAGAACTTCGGCCATTTCAATCTGTCGTTGTTCCACTTCCGTCACCTTTTGTCTTCCCTGGGATGGAAAAATTAAACTTGGGGTCTTATTTATCGAAATCAGGTTGTGAGAGAAAGGCTGACTGCCTCTCCTGCCCACCTCCTGGGCAGAGGCTCTGCTGTTTATTCCTTCATCTCGCCCACCAGCCTGAAATTTGCAGAAACCCCAGGTCTGCTAGCAATCCACAGAGCCCTCAGGGTGAGTTGGGGGTACTGCCCCTATTCTCAAGGCCAGGGGTCTGCAATGAAGGGGACAGTCCCAGAGAGATCCTATTTCCCCCACAGATGTCCTTGGGTTGCAAAAGGACTGGGGGAACCCCTTTTTTCTCCTACCTTCAATTGTGTCACCATTTGGATTCCATCTCTACATTCTAAGCAACCATATTCATTGATTCGTTCCAGTGGTGAAATCCAATTTTTTTTACTACCAGTTCTGTGGGCGTGGCTTGGTGGGCGTGGTGTGGCTTGGTAAGTGTGGCAGGGGAAGGATACTGCAAAATCTCCATTCCCACCCCACTCTGGGGCCAGCCAGAGGTGGTATTTGCCGGTTCTCTGAACTGCTCAAAATTTGCGCTACTGGTTCTCCAGAACCTGTCAGAACCTGCTGGATTTCACCCTTGCTTCATTCTATCTGGAGACCCCAAAGTGGGGATCCCCTGGGATATAGATAAGCCCCCAAGTGGCCTCAACAGCTCTGAGAGCTAACAACCGACCCCCCCCCCCCAGCTTACCACCCACCGGATGCCTACAAAGAATATAAATCCTTCCATTCCCTACCGGTTAGTTAGAACTGAAGAAGCTTCTTGGTTGAGAAGTGAAATATTTTCAAAGGGAAAAACAAAAAAGCCCACTTGCCTTTTGGAAAAAGCACCTTTGGGACAACCATGACCTGGATGATGGAGAAGCTCCATGCACATTTTACTTGGAGATGTAGGGAGGATCCAGGAAGATCAAATGCCCTTCATTGATAGGGCACACAGTCCAAGGAAGATTTTGGTCCCAAGGGCCCAACAAACTCTTAACTGAAGGAGCCAATTCCAGAGGTTAACCTCATAGATTGAGCCACCTTCTAGCACTGAAGATGTTACCTAGTTGGGTAATAGCAATAGCACTTAAACTTCTACAGTGCTTTCCAGCCCTCTCTAAGCAGTTTACAGAGTCAGCATTTTGCCCCCAACAATCTGGGTCCTCATTTTACTGACCTCAGAAGGACAGAAGACTGAATCAACCTTGAGTCTCTACAAGAAAACAACAGTTCCAGGAAAAGCTCAGATTGTTCCCAGTCACTGATCAGGATGAACAGGTCAGGACCTCACCACAAAACCATGGACTACTTCTCTTTGTCCAAGAAAACCATTCTTGGCTCTTCTTGGCTATCTAAATCCATTTTCTCTTCTTCTCCCAGAAGATCCACAGACTAAGATGAACGTCCAATGTAGTTCATAAAAATGAAACCGCTGCATCCATTGTTCAGCTGAGCCATCTCTGATTTGCATTATTTCCATACAGAATGAGTGTTTTTCACTGGCGGGGTAGCTTCAAACACTCAGTCCAATCTCCTCATCTTAAAACATTCTGGGTGTAATTTCACAATGCAGATTCTGCTGATTATATAAAGTGGCCTTAAGGCTTAAATAGATGAAATACAGAAAAAAAAAAAACCCACATATCTACAGCCTGTATATTTAATCTGCTTGAAATCCATATTACAGTCCTTCAGAAACTTGATGCTTGAAATAATGAAAAATACAGTGGAAGTTGTAAGATTGCAATACAAATGTCCTTCAACATGCTCAGGGACACATTATCCCTTCTTTCCATTCTCTCAACAACTTGGTGAGGAAGATCAGGCTTGGAAGGAAGGGAGGTCCACAGCTCCAAATATCTGCAAATACCACAACTTTTGTTCAGGCCTATAACAGAGGCAAGCTTTGCATTTTGAACAAGAGCTTCCATTTTTCGTTACATTTGCACCCTCTCTCAATTTGGAGTCCCCGATTTGGTTCACAAATTTTTCTACCCATGGTAAAACAAAAACAAAAACAAAAACAAAGGTACCTTGTTATTGGTCTCTTCTTACCTCTGCCTGGAAACTTTTTAAGACAGGAGCCACCATATCTCGAACCTCCTGAAGGAAAGGGGGGGGAGAAGAAGGGATGAGAATTCTCCTGTTTAGACCTCTTAAGGCAAGGAGGTTCAAGGGAATGACGTTCAAAATTTGGATCTTAACTCAGATTCCCATCTTAAACGTTAAGTGTATAGTATTTGTGGCCATATTTAAGCATTAATTAGTGGGGAGGAGGAGGAGGAGAAGGAGAAGGAGAAGAAGACGAAGAAGGGAAAAAAAGAAAAAAGGAGGAAGAGGTTTGACTTAAAAATTTAAGTTTTGAGGATGCAAGACATCCTACCTCTGGTACATTTCTTTTAAATTCCTGGCTGAGTTCAATTAAATGCTTGTGCGAATGTTCGCTTTCCTCCTGACGGGCAGCCAGTTCAGAAGCCACAGAATTCAGTTCCTTCTGGAACAGAAGAAACAAAAAAGGAAACGTTACAAGAAACACAAGAATGTATTTGAAATGCAAACATTTTCCTCAGCTATTTTGCAACGCTACCTTGAGCATCAAAAGGCACAAAGTAGCAGACAGCCATCTAGTCCCGTAGCTACCCCGAGTTTTGAAAACTCTACAATTTCTTTTGGACCTTAAATCCACTCAGCTGCCACACCTGGAGTTTTAAGTCAAGAGTAGAGAAGGTATGGAATAGGACAAAGCCAATTCTTCATGAAAGGGAACATATATCTAGTGACACCTGTCACTCCGTCTACCAATCCCAGTAGCTTAAAAAGAGACCAAATAGCGCATTTACAAAGGAAGAACAAACCCAGATCAGATCGGTTTGCATGTAAACAAATAAATACAGATGGGGGGGTCAAATTAATGAAGCACTTGAGGGATCAATATTTTTAAGAAGCAGATTTCTTTGGGCTTTTTTTTTTCTCCTTAGCAACCGCAAGGAAAACATAGCAATCGCGTCAAAATAATAAGAGCACCATATTGCGGTCCACGCTACCATCCGCTAAATGCATCAACCATGGAAGGAAGACATCCAGATTGTAACTAATTTAGGTGTGTGGCTTTTTTTTTTTAGTGTTTGTAAATAATCATTTAAAAGATCTGGATGGCTTTTGAATTGCATGGGATTTGGAGTGGGGCTTTGGGAGGAAGTTTTTGCCGGCTTGGGAATTCTGGGAATTGAAGTCCACCCATCTTAAAGTGCTCACGGTGGAGAAACCTTGTTCGAAAGCAATTAGAACATCAACCGTGAACTAAATTCGTGGCTCTCCTTCCCAGTCCCTTCCTGCCCTGATCTTTCTGGGTCCACGGAGGAAAAGCCAGATGGTTGTTTTCAAAAAACGACAGAGCCCGGCCTCTCCCTCAGGGCAGAGATGCGGGAAAGGGTTGCCATCGTTCTGATGCAAGGAAGACAGGAGCACAAGACAGATAGCGGCACGGCAGCCTCTCGGTAGACAGGCCGATTTCCAGGAGCCATCAATCATTTTCCTACAGAATATGTAAATTCCAGATGCTAAAGATGTATGGGGCGCGTTACCAGGGGGTGTCGATGGCGTGCCCAAGTCGCCCAATGAAGCTCCTTTCGGTCTCCGGTGAACCAGAGGGATGCCAAGCTTTCTGCCTTTTATTGGATCTTATCAATATTGCCACCGTTGGGTATAAAGGAAAGGGGAGCAGATTAAAAAACATGAAAGGGGAGGAGGGGAAGAGAGGGGGGGAGAGGGAGGGAGGGAGGGAGAAAAAGAGAGGGAGAGAAGGAGAGGGAGAGTGGGGGCAGAGAAAGAGAGGGAGGGAAGGAGGAGGAGAGAGAGAGGAGAGAAAGCAGGCAGCCAGACCTGGCAACTGGCTGTGTTTTATGAGCATCGGAGCACATTCTGCAAAGACCCAGACTCGGGTTCAGAAATGCACTTTTCATCTGTTTCAGGGTAGGAGATGGGAGGCAAAGGGCGGCCCCAGGGGTCAGGCTATCAGGGAGTCAATCAGGTACATGTTCTGGCCTCGAAAACAAACCCCCAGGATTGCATCGTACCAGGAGGCAGTGATGCAAGTGAGGTGACAGCAGTGCCTTCCCATCTGAGGTGAGAGCAGTGCCTTCCCGTCTGAGAATGCTCCACAGCATCTCTGCATGAGTCCCTGGCCTGGGGTGGCCTCCTTCCCAAAAGGCAATACGTAGAGAGCATAGAGTCACACGGGTGGGCAACGACCAGGCAGATATAAAAAAAAGAAATGAGGCAGGTAACAGTGGCAGAGAGAAGGGAGGGAGGGAGGGAAGGAGGAAGGGAGGGAGGAAGGAGATGGAAGAAGGGAAGGAGAAGGGAAAGAAAGGAAAGAAGAAGAGAAGGAGATAGAAAAAAGTAAGAAGAGAAGGAGTGGTGCAGAAGAAAAACAGATGGAGGAAAAGGACAACCATTTTGTGAAACAACCTATAGCAGCCTGTCAAAACTCTGCCTCCCCCCAATCTCCAAACAAATGACCCCTCCCCCCGGGACAGACAACAGGTGATGGAGTGGACAAACAGGGCCTCCAATGACCCAACTACTAACTAAGCTGACTGGCCGGTGGGTTTTAATCAGAAAGCCAAAAGAACAACTAACCGGGTTGAACAGTTAACCTGGACGAAAGCACTTAGTCATTAGCACTCCAGAGTCGCCAGCAGATTCCCTCTCCTGATACGAAAAGCCTTGGATAGCACAGATTGTTCCCCCCCCCCCCCCCCCCCCCCCCCCCCCGCCTGTGCCTCCCACCCTCCGGACCCCTCTCTCTCTCTTCCCCGAGAACAAACATCTCGCACGCCTCTGAAAACCTCTGTCCTTCCGTCTTGAGATGCCAGTACAATAATTTCGATCAAGTATCCGAAGCCAGAGATTCCATTTTAGATTAGGGGAGATGACAGCTGAAAAGGGGGGTGGGGGGAGTGAAACCATCTCGAAAGAGCTTTGTTGCGCAGGGGACGGACTCCTCCAGGAGGGGCCAAAAAAAAAAGAGAGAGAGAGGAGACTAGGGGGCTGAATACATTCAAGGTTTAGCCCAGGAAAAATGAACGGAACTGCTGCCAGATAAAAGAGGGAAGATAAAATACGATTCCTGCATCTAATGGCAATGGCCATGTTCATTCATCCTCCAGCCCATCCCAAAACTTCAAGCTTGGTTGCAGACCGGCTGAAAGTCTCAACCCCGAAGCAAACCCAACAAGTAGCCTTAAGTCAAGGAGCCCTTTCTTCTCACAGGTAGGAAGGTGGAGGGAGGAGGAACTACCGGGCTGCAGCCACCTAGACTGGTTGGTTACCTGGAGCAGGGGTCTCCATCCAACTTGGCAACTTTAAGCCTGGAGGACTTCAACTCCCAGAATTCTCCAGCCAGCAAAGCTTGAATTAAGTCAGAAATAAACCCAAAAGCAAAGCCGGCTGGGGAATTCTGGGAGTTGAAACCCGCAGCCTTAAAGTTGCCAAGGTTGGAGACCCTTGACCTGGAGGCAGGTGACAGGTCTTTGCTGATGGTCTCCTCCCCAGATCAAAGGTTGGCCAACCAAAGTCCAAAAATTCCAGCAGGGCCGAGCTTGTGTGTGGCTTGCAAAGCAAAACAGTCACTGCAGCATTCCATCTAGAGCAGGGAAGTCCGACCTTGACTATTTTTAAAACCTGTGGACCTCCACTTCCAGAATTCCCCAGCCGGCCATGTCCAGGGGTGGAGGGCTGAGTGGACAAATGCCCAGCTGGTTCCATGCCCTGCCACTGCTGGGGGATGCCAGTTGGAGACCGGAAAGCTGTCCTGCGGAGGAGAAGGTCAAGAGGCCAAAGGCTGCGATCTCATCCAGACCCTGGATCAGAACTGACAAAATCTGGCTCGGGTTCAAGTAAGGCAGAAGGGACAGCAGCAGAGCAATTTCGGGGAAGGGGCCGTTTGGAAGAAGGTGATTTTGGTGGGGAAGGAGACCCATGGGGCTCACCCCATCTTTACCCAATCCATCTTTCTGAAAAGGGGCCGGACTACAACTCCCATCACTTCCAGCAAAAGGGGCCATTTCCAACCACTCCTCCAGGAGAATTTCCTATTCCTTTGGCCCAACTTCCTCGCTCCTTGCTCAGAGCTCCTTGCTCTCCCCAAATGGGTGTCTCCTCTCTGCCCCAAATAGTCCCTTGGAGAGGGGGGCTCCAATCACAGATGCACAGAGAGGAGAAGAAAACACCAAATTCAAGTCCTCAAAAGATATGCAAATCGGCTAATCAAGCAGACTATTATTGCAGATCCCGGCAGCAACAATCCTACGAGATAAGTGATCAACCACTAATATCCAATTGTGCACCGGCCCATTACTACCCCATAGGGATGTGTGTGTGTGTGTGTGTGTGTGTGTGTTAAAAAAAGCATTTCTAATTACAGCAAAATTGTCTTCTCCCCCTGAAAACATTTCATCAAGCTCAAGTTGGGAAAAAAATAAATCTGTCAGCAATAAGGATGGTGGATATTTTTTTCCCCATCTGAGGAGGGAGGGGGAAGAACCGTTCCTGGGGAAGGGGCACAAATGGAAGGCAGCAAAACCTAACGGGGTGAGAGAAAGAGCTTTGTACCTTTCAGGGATTTGCAACAAAAGCTGGGTTTCTAGTCCTCATGGTTGAGCCCCGAAGGAAGATTAGCAAAGTAAGCAAACTGAAGAAATTCCAGACTAAGTCTCTCCTTTGTGTTAGGAGAAAACCTTGAATGGAATGGAATGGAATAGAATCTGGAAGGGACTTTGGAGGTCTTCTAGTCCAACCTACAGCTTAAGCAAGAGACCCTATCCAATTTGAGACAAGTGGCTGTCCAATGAAGCACCCACAACTTCTGGTGGCAAGCTGTTCCACTGGTTAATTGTCCTCACTATTAGGAAGTTTCTCCTTAATTTCCAGCTTGCTTCTCTCCTTGATTAGTTTCCATCCATTGTTTCTTGCTCTGCCCTAAAACAGGTTTGAATTCAAAATTATAACCATAATTCTGCTCTAGCTCTGCAGTACTTCCGATACTGGGAAATTGGACATAATAGGAAATCCCTCGCAAAACTTTCCACTTCTATCTTCTCCATAAAAAGCCCAATCAGAGACTGGCAGCTTTCCCAAAGCTTCATCTGAGTGGCAGGATCCTCTCCTGAAAATAACATATGCCGCCATTCTTTCCCCCCCCCCTAAGCAAACCCCACCCCCACCCCCCTATTTGAATGTGTCTCAGGCTCTGGCTATAACTTTGTCAGCTACAATTTAACTGCCAATTTAGGCAGGAAAGCTCATAATTAGAGTAAAGGAACGAGAGCTCTCCGGTTATTGATAGACCGAAAATCTGAGTTTCCCTGGAGCCTGCCGACGTTGTTAACCCCTTCCTGCTTTGGCATAGGAGATCGAGGCAGATCCCCGGTCCGTGGGATTTGGCAGGTAGGAGGAAAAATGCCAGAGGATGCCAGGAAGAGACTGGACGGAGGCTTTGGAGAAGGAGCCATCTCTTTCCACTGGGCAAAACGTGGGGAGGGAAATTGCTGACGGTGCCCGCTGGATTCTGGGAATGCCAAGGCTGGTCAGACCAGGAGGAGCCGTGCCCGCTGGCAGGTCTCAAGGTAAGCGCTGACATCGGTTTCCTGCCTCTGGTGGGGAGAGGCAGGGTGGGGGCTTTTAAACGGCAGGAGGAAGACGCCACGGGCCCCGGCCATTATACACTTTTATTGATGCTGTTCTGAAGAAAGCTAATCGATATATTAGATTTCCCCCAGAAAGAAAAACAGCAGCCGCTGGAGAGTTTTCCAACCGGAGTTTGCAATGGCACAGGCTGGAGTCATTGCCCAGCCCACCCCTGGCTTTCCTGGCTGCCTGCGGGTGCCAACAGCTTGCCAAAGAGGAGGAGGAAGAGGAGGAGGAGGAGGCCTGATTAAACTTCTTTAATCAGCGTAAAAGGCTTTGGGTCAATGGCACTATGCTTCATCACCTGGACAGGTTTCTTGGATTTTAAAAGAAGAAGGGAATGAAGTCACCACCAAGGTTGGAGAGGCCTCTGAAGCAACAGACAAAGGGCCTCTTAGAACTGCAATGGGGCCAACGCCATCTGGGGAAAGATTGTCGCCCACCACAAAGGTGAAGAAAGCTGATTTTTTTTAAGAGCACTATTTCCCAAACTAGGCAACTTGAAGATGGGTGGACTTCAACTCTCAATTCTGGGAGTTGAAGTCCACCCATCTTCAAGTTGCCCAGGCTGAGAACACTGATTTAAAGCCTTGGTTAGGCCAACCCACTGAGCTCCAGAAACCATAGAGTCTGTTCTTTAGGGAAGCCAGATCCTGGGAATTTTGGGAGTTGAAGTCCATCCGCCTTCAAGTGGCCCAGTTGAGAAGCACTGCCTTAGAGAAACAACAGATCTCATCCTAAGACTTCAAAATAGCTTTCCAAGATCTTTTGGGGAGTCTTGCTGTTGCCCCAAAGTTGGGGAATTCTGGGAGCTGGCATTGGAGAAAGCCTTTGAGAATGTCAGCTGGGGAATTCTGGGAGTTGAAGTCCACCCACCTGAAAAGTTCCCAAAGTTGACAACTCTTGTTCTGGAGACTGGGGAGGAAGGAGGCCTGATTAGCCAAAATTTATCTTAAACCACATCAAATCTAACTCAATCATCCGTAACGCAATTACACAACCAGGGAGTGAGGGGACTTATGTTGAGAAGGCAACGTTTATCCAGGACTGTAGGTGGTTTAGGGGAACCCAAGAAACAAAGGAGAAGAATTGGGGAGGGGGGATCACACAGGCACAGAACCTGAGATCGTTTTATCTTGGGGGGGGGAGAATGGGAAAGACTGGGGATGGCGGTCTGCATTGCATCTAATTGCAATCAACAGCAGACATCTAACGCAAGTGACGGGTTCAGCAAAAAAGAAAAAAGAAAAATTTGCTGCTGAGAGGGGCAAAATCTTTGTCTAAAAATAATCAGCCATTCCACACGGTTGTTGTTGTTGTTGTTGGATTGGATCCCCCTCCCTCCGTCTCTCCCTTTTTGCTAGAATGGTAATCGATGCTGGAGGCTTTGAATTCCATCAATTTATAGATCTGCCCCAACTCTGCGCCTGCCTGCCTGCCTGCCTGCCTTCCTGCCTTCCTGCCTGGCGATTGTCTGCCGGGGCTGGTGGAAAGGGAGCGAGCGGGGAGGCAGGAAGGCCGCAGCTGCACACACACACACACACACACACACACACACACACACAGTGGGGTTCAGAGAAGCTCAGGGACCTTCTGTGAATTCCTCGATCCCTTCTCAAACATCCTCCGTCAGCCTAAGGCTCAAACCTGCCCATCAACCTTTGGCATACAGGTACATAGAAAATATACACAAGGTACCAAAATGCATCCAGGCAGAAGGCAGAATCCTCCAGGCAGGTTTGCACGCGTGAGAGAGAGAATGGACACAGAGCATCCCAATGGATGCACACAAATCGGCAGATAGGTAGGTATATCTCCACGCGGTGAGAAAGGGGATGTGTGTGGTTGGGGGGGGGGATGGGGAGAGGCAGAAAATGGATGGAGAGAAGGAAAACGGTCCCTGGAGAGATTCTCAGCAGTTAAAGATTAGCCCTAGCTTTCTGAGACGCCAAATTTTTTGAGGGTTATCGATCAATAAATCAAATCAGCGTCCAATCAATCGGCCAATCAGGAGCGTCTCGCCGATGCATTACTGCTGGCGCCTTCAAACCCGGCCCGGCCTTCGGTGGCTTTCATCAAAACAGAGCTGGGCTGGCACGGGGCCAGCTCCCACCCTCTGCCTCCACAGACTCGGTGGCGCAGCAGCCTGGCGCAAGAACAATAAATTTCTCATCTAACAGCCGATCAAGAAACAAGGTGAACATCTGTTTTGCTGCAACGGAGACGCGTGCCGCACTTCTGGGGAAGCTGCAACCCGGCTTCGGAGGGCCCCCCCCCCCCAAGACTGCTTCTGATTGCTAGGAGTGTGCACGGCTCTCCATACAAGTGGGGGGCATTTGCACGCCTGTGGGCATGTGTGGGTGTTTGTGCATTTGCACTGCCATAGGGGGCGAGAGTACCCACCTATTAATTGAGGAAGGAAACGGCTGCCCCTTGCCCAAGCCAGCTCTCTCTGCCCACATCTGCTCACCCCACTGCAAAAGGAAAAATGGAGAAAAGGCTGCTTGTCCAGTCAATAATAAAAGCTGCCCAGGGATGGAGGCGGTTTTATGATGCCCATTAAATAGCCCTGTAACTCCATTAAAAGCTGTTTATCCCCTCTAACTATGGCCAAGTATTTCTCCTCACCCATAAACGGAGGTGGGTGGGGGGTGGGGTGGGGGACTGGATCATCCAGGAGGCTACCCAGCCCACAGCAAGGATGACCAAACTTGCACGAAGGAGGACACTTCAATCCCACAGCCCCCTCCCCAAAATGGCCTGAGGAGCTTCCGCAACCCAGAAACAAGAGAGAGAGAGAGAGAGAGAGACGGGGAAAGTGGATAACTATTGTATCTCAGGAGGTGAGGATCAAGGATAGGCTGCCCCTGCCCCTGGAGGTTCTGCTGGGCTGCTGAGGGTAAGAACCAACCAACTGGCTTCTCTCCCACCCTATTTTGGGGTCACTGAGTTCCTGGGGCAAAAAGGAACCGTAAAAACCTCACAATGATAGATCAAATTCACTTGCCTCTTAATGGGGGGAGGGGTAGGTCGATCTGGGAGATGTAAAAAGGGGTGCAATGGGGTCCCCTTAAAAAGAGAGGGAACTGGCCGATCCCCCTTGTCCCTCCCCATCTCTCTCCCTTCTTTAAATCCCCCCTCCCCCCCACAGCCCTCAGTTCTTCCGATTCCCAGTGCATTTTGAGACACGGTTGCTTCCCTTGGGGGAGGGGGACAAGGAGGGGGAGAGGCATTCATCTCTTTATGGTGAGGCTGCTCTGAGTCCAGGGACTCTTTGCTTTCAACCCCGCCATCTGCCAAGCATCAGATCAAAATCTGAGTTGGATTCCATTAAACGAAAGTCTCTTTCTTTCTTCCTTTCTTGCCTCTCCCTCTCCAGCCCCTCCACATTAAAAAAAAAGAAAAAGAAATACTTGTTTTATTTTCAATCTGCCCTGAATAGTCTCTCTCTCTCTCTCTCTCTCTCTCCCTCCCTCTCTCTCTCCCTCCCTCTTTGCATGCTTGTTGTTTTCACCAACCAAGAGAAGCCGCACGGAAAGCAAAGAAGAAAAGAAGAAAAGGCGGTGAACAAAGGAGCCAGCCTTGAACTAGAGACGCTGAGGGTCAATGCCAAAGCCAACACAATCCCTTCTCTGGCCAGGCCAAGCCTTCCCGGCCCCACCAGAGTCACCTACCCAAAAGAAGCTCCAATCTTCACTCCCTAACCAGCCTCTTTCCCCCAGCTTAGACAACCATCTGGAAGGCTGCAGCTGGGGAGATGCCAACGCTGGGGAGAACCATTGGTGGTCCTCCTGGCCTGGAATGCTACCAATGCATAAACTGCACTTTAGGAGTCTGGGGGATCTCAATTGGACCCCTGAGGCGCTTTCAGTGGATGGGATGGTTCTGAAGCTGTGTGCATGGAGATGTATTCCGCCTATACGCAGGGTGTTCTCAAGAGGATGGGTTCCACCATGCACAAGGTGGATACCCTCACACTACGAACGTGGCGTTATGTATCCCATCGTGGCCTCTGTTGGCTTCCCCAGGCTCACAAGAAGACCTGCTGCTCGTTGGTTCAAGCACCTCCCTTGCGTGCTATAAGAGAGGCCAGCCTTGGTCCTGGTCACTTCTGGAGAAGAAGCCTTGTGGAGCAGAAACTAAAAGACCAGCTTCTCTTCCCCACAAACCAGCTTTCTAACCATGGCTGTGCGTGAAGGGGGTTGCATCTCCATGGGTTTTGAAGGTGCCAAGTTGGCGACTGCTGGCCTCAAAACCTGATTTAGAGGCTGGGCCCCAATCGTTTGTTTAATCGTAACATACTAAGATAATCCATACTTTACAGTCACAATGGATAGGTTAAGGTGCTGTGGACAGAAGAAGAGATTGGAGAACCGTATGTCTGAAACGGGACAGGTCTCCTGCTTGAGCAGGGAGTTGGACTAGAACAGGGGTTGGCAACTTTAAACACTCAAAGAGCCATTTGGACCCGTTTCCCACAGAAAAGAAAACACCGGGAGCCACAAAGATCCTAACCGGAAGTGCCCCGTTCAATTCTGGAGCTGACCGGAAGTCCAATTTCCCCACCGTAGACTCTCCTCATAGCGCGGCATCCTTTTTCCTCTACCTGTCCTAACTGAAAGCCCTATCAATTGTGGAGCCGACCAGAAAACCTGCCCCTTGCCATAGAGTTTCCCCCCACCCGCCAACTGGAAGGTCCTCTCAAAATTGTGGCACTGACCGGCGACAGGGAGCTGCAACAGAGGGATGAAAGAGCCACATGCGGCTCCAGAGGTTGCTGACCCCTGGACTAGATGATCTCCAAGATCCCTTCCAACTCTTTTGTTATGCTGCATTTCAGCCTAAGGGTGAGCCTTCGGGCATGTGTGTTTCCCACCCCGGTTCAATTGTTTGGGGAAGGAAGAGCAAACACCCCACGCTTGCATTGATTAGGACAGTCCATTGTTCGCCCACAGTGAATAAGTAAGTACCTTTTAAATCCAAGGAGAAAGATATCAAAATAAGACGGAATGCTGTCCAATCCCCTCCTGCGAGGGGGAAGGGGCTTAAATAAATGTAAAAAGAGACAATTGGATTGCTTTTGCTAAAGGATGGGGAGGAAAGAGACCGGCAGCCCCGGGAGGAGGAAATCTGGAGTGATCCAATTCCCTTTGTGGTACAGTAAATAATTCTTTATTACACTTTGATGTATCTTTCCCCTAATGACTTTTAAGGGCAACACAATAAAATTGAAAAAAAAAAAAAAGGGGGGGGGGGGAAGAGAAGGGCTGCAAGGAACAAATGCTTAATATTCAATAAATGTGTCAATTTCACATAGAGAGGCAAATGGGCCTCTATTGAGGAATTGGTAAATTTCCTTGGAGGAAAGTAAGTGCATTTTAGCCTTCAAGGGGTCCCCAGCGAAATGGAAATGGAATGTGATTTGTGATAAAACTCAGCTGCTCCATAAAAGACATTAAATAAATGTTGCTCTTTCACTTGCGAGATACGGAATTGATTGCATTATAGACCTGCTCCAAGACGCGCAGTTTCTTCTCCCTCCTCCCCACAAGGGAAGATCTGGCTGGTCGGGCCACATTTTAGCAGCCGGGAGAGCAAAGGCGATTTAAATGACATCTAAACTCACCGGCTAATGGCGGCCACCAATTTGGAGGTGGAGAACGAACGTTTTCTGCCTCTGTCTGATTTATTATTTCCCTGGACACAAGAGAGCCGCTGGCGGAGTCCTCGGTGCCGGGAAGGGGTTCGGCAACCCTGAGCCCAGAGCGGATCAGACCTGCAAGCCAGGGCCAAAAGATTGCGGGACATGAGGGGCCCTCGGTGCTCTCTGAGCTGGCTTGTTTTCTTGCAGATCTTTCACGACTCAAAATAGGCACCGTATTCCTTCGTTGGGGTCATGAAACGTCTGCCAGAACTTTGCCTGGGGGGGGAGGGGGCGGGTTAAAAGCAGGACCTTTTTCCCTGGTTCCAAGTAAAAAAATTCATGTAGTAGAGGAAAGAGAAATGCCGGAAGGGATGACCTCACCGTGCTCACCGCCAGAACCACAAACTCCCTGGGGTATTTCTATCCAGCTCCATAAAGCCCCAACTTGGGTGACATCTTGAAATGCAGCTTTCCTGCCTTATGAGAGAGAGAGAGAGAGAGAGGATATTTTTCCCAATTCCGGGAAAGCTTACAAAGCTTTGGGCCGGCAGATGAGACGCTAAGAAGATTGTATCAAATTCAATTTCCCCTTAATCTCCTTCTGATCAGACTCTACCGAGGCTGTCCCAGTCCTTGGGCACAATTTGAGTTTGAGTGATGGATTTGGGCCACTTTCCAAAAATTGCAGGGAAACAGGGCAGAAACCTTGGCGTTGAGGCTATATACACGTTCAGATTGACTTAATTCAATAGGATTTAATCGGATTATTCCGCAGCCACGGATTTCAGCATTGTCTCCTTTATGTCACAATAAAATCTGAGCCGCCATTCAGAGGCTTCGGATTATGCCCCTCTTAAAACCATGGGAGGGGCATGCAATAGGTTGGACACCGGCAGATAACTTTATTGGGTCACTTAGTCCAGGGGTCTCCAACCTTGACAACTTGAAGACTTATGGACATCAACTCCCAGAATTCTGGGAGTTGACGTCCACAAGTCTTCAATTTGCCAAAGTTGGAGACCCCCAACTTAGTCCATGTCCCCCTCCTCTCGCCTCTGAGTTGGCTAAAGTTATCCCAAAAGTGCTTTTCAAAAAGGTAAGTGGACTTCCTTGGTTTTTTGAAAACATTTCGCTTTTCATCCAAAATGGAAGAAGTTTCTTGGATGAGAAGCGAAAAGTTTTCAGCAATGGTGGGATTCAGCCGATTCGCACCTATTCGGGAGAACCGGTTGTTAACTTTCTAAGCAGTTCGGAGAATCGGATGTTGGAAGAAATCTTATTTTGTTTTTGTTTTTACAGGGCTAATCCTGTAAGGAAGGCAGGAAGGAAACATTCTGGTGGTGTTTCTAGCCTAATCTTTATTACCCTGCTTACAGAAACTGCCTCTCTGGTTAACCCTTATTACATTGTAACAGCTAAGGTGAAGCGCCCATCGACGTGAGTGATGTTGAGTTGGCCATGCCCACACGGTCACATGACCACCGAACCATGCCTATCCAGCTGGTCATTAGGGCAGAGAACCGCTTGTTAAATTATTTGAATCCCACCGCTGGTTTTTAAGAAAGTCCAGTTGCCTTTTTGAAAAAGGCACCTTTGGGACAACCATGACTTGGATGATTGAGAATCTCCAGAGACACTTGGCTGAAGTTATTCTTGGCAAAACACAGAAGTGGCGAACCGGCGAGGTCTCTCTCTCTCTAGGAGATGCGTCCTATTGCATTAGCAATTTGGACTGTTATTAGCCCTTTCCCCATCCAATCGGATTAATATTTTTCACTGATACAATAAAGGCTGTCCTCCCGGATTAGCAACTTTCCAATCACATTAGTGCCGACAAATACAAATATGATACAGGAGCGATACGACAAGCCAGGATGGAAGGCCTCTTAACGCAAGATGACAGCTAAGGGAGAGTTGGAAGTTGCTGCAGTCCCAGGTGGGTAAAGGATGTGTCTTACTATAAATGCCAATGCGGCATCACCACAAAACGGCAAATGCCCTTCTTGTGGCAGCTTCAGGTGGGAAAATGAGCCCCCTAACCTTACTCAGAAAGGGGGAGGCTAAGCCCAGCTTTTCCATTGCACCATTAGAAGATCTGAACCAGGATGGGCTTCTAGGTGAGATAATTAGCAGCCACGTTTCATTTGTTTATTTTATTGAAAAAGCTACTGGCTTACTTTGTCTGGTCGGGACATAATATTTGCATGGATCTCTAATGATTACAGTTTATTCAATAAACCTCAGTTAAACCAACCACAGTTTAGTGGAAGATATGAATTCAGCCTGCTTGTGCCCACTCACTTAAAGGAAATTTAAAACAATCAATAAAAAAGCCTATAGTATTTAAGCTGTATTCTAGTTAATAAAATACTTTTAAATTCCAACATGTCACAAGACGAAGAAGAGAAACCAAGCCTAAAACTGAAAATAATCTGGGAATATTATCTCTTTTTGCACAACCAATGCTATTTTTTGCACACCGACACATCCTGTGCAAGGAGCAATAACAGGAAGGTTGGAGCTCGGAGAGAGGGAATCACCAACCAGCTCAATTCTTGAACATCCTGAACTACCCAGAATGGCCAACAGCCTTACATTTATGCCAGGAAATTCAGTTTTTCTGCTAGCCACCAAGAAGAAAAGAAAAAGAAAAGGCTGTTCTGCTAAATTTTGCATGGAATTGGCGTCCTGCGTTCCCTAACATAATATAAAAAAATAAACAAATCAATCACATCGAGACTGCATAAAAGGGAATGCAGCTTTTCCTGAAATGGCAGGAATTGTACTGGTGTTAATAAGGATAAATTCCCAAGCACCAGTAGCTTTCCTCAAGCTGACTAGTTTAATCAAACTAGTTATTAAGTCTGCATTACTATGAATCTTCTCATCGTTCCCATCGCCCATCTCCTCCCACTTATGACTGTATGACTGTAACCTTGTTGCTGGTATCCTTAAGATTTATATTGACTGTTTCCCTATGACTATCATGAAGTGTTGTACCTTATGATTCTTGACGAACGTATCTTTTCTTTTATGTACACCGAGAGCGTATGCACCAAAGACAAATTCCTTGTGTGTCCAATCACACTTGGCCAATAAAGAATTCCATTCCATTCCATTCCATTCCATTCTATTCTCAAACAGCCTAGCCATAGCCTGTTCTCGGCTGCATACGCTCACTCAAGAAAGCAAGACAAGAAGCAACGGATGGAAACTGATCAAGGAGAGAAGCAATCTACCAGTAGAACTAAGGAGAGATTTCCTGACAGTGTGAACAATTAATCAATGGAACGGCTTGTCTCCAGAAATTTTGGGTGCTCCAATACTGGAGGTTTTTAAGAAGAGACTGGACAGCCACCTGTCTGAAATGGTCTAGGGTCTCTTGCTTGACTAGAAGACTTCCAAGGTCCCTTCCAACTCTGTTATTTTGTTATTCTATTATTCTTTACTGGAGTTGTTGAATCCCAGAGTCTAGGAAAACCTACTCTAAATACTGACTTCACGTATCGTCTAAGATACACTGTAGTTTGTTGGCTTGGATTAGTATGAGCCACAAGACCTGTTATGGATTGGAAACTGGCTTATAACTTGGAGCTTTCCACGCTGTGGTTGAATTAGCATGGTTTATGGTTAACCACAGCTGGGTAGATTCACACAGCCATGGTGGAAAGACATAAGCCACGATGTACAGACAAATACCACACAAAGCCAAAATAAATCCACACAAGGGTTCAAGCTGGTGTGAAGCTCAGCTTGAGGACCCTTATCAAAAGGTGTCATTTTGTTATTGGTGCGAGAAAGATATCTTGGCTGCCCGCGAATCGGGCCCAAAAGGTTGCCGCAGTCAAACCAGAATAAAATGTTGGCTAAGGAAGTGAGGGACAGCACTGGCTGAGAAGATGGTGGTCAATAGACTGAAGGACTGGCAGTTGTCACTGCACCGAGGAGAATGTTTGCGAAGCAACCAACTATTTTTGAAGCCCACATCAACACTGGGGAATGTTTGGCAAAGTCCCCTCTTGCAAATTGTGTTAGGCGGGATTTATAGGCGAGGGCAGCGGAGATTGTATTAGGCGTTCTTTCGGGGCCGTCTGATGACTTAATTGTTCCATCGCTCTGCAAGTTTCAGGCCCGTGCAGTCTCTTAATGATGTTAGGGTTTTTTTAAAAATAAAATTTCTAGGAGGTGGGAGGTTGCCTCTCTGTCCCACCTCCCCACCCTAACACCCAGCCAAGCACTCAGAGGGCTGGGGCTTCCGACAGAGGTTGAATGGAGCCCTCCCCCTTGGATGTCCATCTTGCTGAAAAAGCTGAGTGGTTGGACAGGCCCGTATCTGAAGGCATCTCATGAAGGGTCCATTCCAGAGGCTACTCCCGTTCCCCCCCTCCCCATCCTATCCTCCATCTCATGTCCCCTGAGGATCAAGGCTGGAGAGAATCTCTTTGAGATGCCCAAGAAATGGAGTTTGCCATGAGCAAAGTGGCAGAGATGCAGAAAGGTCTAAAGGTTGTAAGAGAGAATTATCTTATGTAAGCTCTGTATTTATAAGTCAGTTCCAAAATGTAAAACTTAAACCATTTCCCACGGCCCTTCTGAGTTAATGGACTCGTTGCTTTTCGATTCCTAGCTTTGAAATTGATATGGACTTACCATATTAGGTACTGAAACTACTGTACTTCCAAAGATCTAAAGGTAGTAAGAGAGAAAATTGTCTTATGTAACGCAGAAAACTCTTGTATTTATCTGTCAGTTCCAAAGTTTAAAATCTAAACCAGGATCTCTCAACCTTGACCGCTTGAAGATGGGTAGACTTCAACTCCCAGCATTCCCCAG